CACATATTTACGTGGTTCGCCAACAGTGTGTTGGCTAAGTCCACGGGCAGGCGAGAGTAAAGCTTTATTGATCTTGAGGAATTCCAAATTGCAGATTCGATGATGTCAATTATCACCAGACTTAAACTATGAAAAAACCCTAACTAGGTTTATATATAGCTACCCCAAATAAGATAGATAAACGCATTAAAAAGACTCACACAACCCTAAGGAGTTGTGTGGGCTCCACCGCATGAAAATAGAGAGCTCTCGCTCACAATTGAGCGAGCTTTTACTCGGACCCCAGCCGAGCTATCGCTCATGGTCGAGCGAGCTATCGCTCGACCCCTAGCGCACCTTCAACCTTCGCGAGCTACCAAGCGAGCTACCGCTTGGCCTAGTTGAACCAAACTATCTTCGTGAGCTATAGCTCACTTGCATAGGAGATTAGGAACTATAGCTCCAAATTCGTCGCAACTTCAAATGCTTCCGAAACTACTGAGCGACCTCACGAGCTATAACTCGCTGCTTCTAAACCCAATTCAAGGCATATTTCAACATTTACAAATAAGGTCTTTCAGTTACTACAATAAACTTCAATACTGTACTTCATTGGCTAAACAATGCACCAAATTTTTCCTAAAAAACATGCATGACCTCAACCAATGTAAAAATGTTATGCCAACGTTTTGCACTAAAAGAGACACAAATGTACAAAAGATGTAATGTTGATGATCTATGTCTCTATAAATTACCTTTTTTAATTTGAAACCTCTCTATAAATTACTTGTACAAAAGATGTAATGTTGACGATCTCTAATCCCTAGTTCTCTACAAATTACCTTTGTTTCTGGTTTTTCCACTTGATATGCCCTTATTTAAGCTAATTATGATAGAAAATGATAAATATTCTAGATATTATTCTGTATAGAAGGATGTAGTTTTGTGAATATTATGTAATTATCTTGTGAGATTTCCTAACGTGATTAGGTCTCACATTTGTAACCCTATATATTTGGATCAATGGAATACACTCCAATATGAGGAGTTTCACAAAATCTAACATGGTATGATAGCTTTAGGTTACAATCTAGCTTCCGCAAATTTTTTTTTTTTTTTCACCCAGCCGATTTTTTCCTATTTAGTTTACCAATGTCTTCTTTCTAAGGCAACAATTAATTCGGTCCACCTTCTTTCTGTCCATTCACTAAATTAATTGGTTCACCAATTAGTTCTTTGTTCTCTTTTTACCTTTTACAATTAATTTGGTGTACCTAATTTCTTGCTACCATCATGGGTAAGGGGTGGTGATCCTTCTTCTTCCGACTTCCACCCAGCTCTAGGTGTTAATAATATCAAGAATGCTATTCTTCTTATTCTTGACTGAGAAAACGTACAATATTCAAATTTGGTGGAATTGTTTGAATGTCATGCTCACGCTTTTAATGTGCTTGATCATATTGACCCTAAAATGCCAAAGCCGTCGGACTTATCGGATGCTATGTGGAAACGTCTTGATTCCGTTGTCAAGAACTGGATTTATGGTATAATTTCTACGGACTTGCTCGAGACAATTCTGTGCAAAGGGGATACGGCTCAGCAGACTTGGAACAAAATCAAGGCCATATTTCAAGATAATTAATCAACTAGAGTCGTTTATCTTGAAAATCAATTTAATGCCTTGCATCTCTCTAATTTTTCAGACATATCTTCGTATTGTCGTCAACTGAAAATCTTAATGGATCAACTTGCCAATGTTGATCAACCCATATCGGAACAAAAGTTGGATATTTGTTTGGTTTCAAGGCTCGCGAATACCGACTTCGATACTGCTGCTGCCATGATATATACAACAAACAGAACCTCTTCCATCATTTGAAATTGCGAGATCCCGCTTGCTCCTTGAAGAAACTAGACGAACCAATGATGCTAGCACACAACAGTCATCATTTGTGGCTCAGGAAGCCTCTACAGCATCACCCACCAATGCCGCATCAACACAGCAACAGCAACAAACCTCGCAGGCAGGCCGTGGTGTAGCATCAGGTGGGCGTGGCCGTGGTCGAGGCAGGGATTGTGGTCGCGGACCAGCCCAACAATAGCAGTCCCATGGCCAGCAGCAGCAGTCCATTGCACCATAGTGGGGACAGCAGTAGCACTACGGTGCACTACAGTGGGGACAAGTCCAGTAGGGGGCACCTCAGTGGGGTCAGGCCTCTTTTCCATACCCGCAACAATGGCCTGAGCCCCGGCCTGGGTATGCAGCTCAGCAAGCCCTCCCCCCACCTGCCAACTATAGACCAAGTCAAGGTGCTTTCCTGTACCAGCAACAACCTCAACAGGCGTATATGACTCATGGGTCGGAGTACGGTTCAACTATGATGCCAACTAATTTAGGCAACGCTTTTGCAACAATGGGTCTTCAAATTTATGACCCATCATGGTACATGAACTCCGAAGCAACTTCTCACATGACCAACAACTCTGGTAATCTCTTACCTCTTTTTAATTTAAGCACTCATAATCATATACTAGTAGGCAATGGTCATCGCATTCCAATTACAGGTTATGGTCACTCTACTATTGCAAACAAATCCTTTTCCCTTCGTGATGTATATCTAGCTCCCTAAATTATTAAAAAATTTATTTCTATTCGCAAATTTACTACCGATAATTCTGTTTCTATAGAGTTTGATCCTAGTGGTTTTTCTGTGAAGGATCTTTAAACGGGGAGAATTCTAACCAAATGTAATAGTGCGGGGGATCTCTATCCAGTCACAAACACACCATCAACCTATCTAGCCTCATCTCTCACAGCCTTGTCTTCATCTACATGGCACAACCGTTTAGGACATCACGGAGCACCCACTTTAAGCTTTCTTAGGAGTAGAAATTTGATTGATTGTAATAAGGAGCAAGACTCCAATTTTTGCATAGGTTATCAGTTGGGAAAAAATGTTTGATTGCTTTTTCATAATTCTAAAAGTAGTATTGTTTCTACCTTTGATATTATTCATGTTGATTTGTGGACTTCTCCCATTCGTAGTGACAAAGGTCATAAGTACTATTTAGTTTTATTAGATGATTACACTCATTATATGTGGACTATTCCTCTTTTTTACAAGTCTCAAGCCTTCCAAACCTTTCTTAATTTTGACAATATGTGCTTACTCAATTTGAGTGTCTAATTAAGTCATTTCAAACTGATCATGGTCGTGAATTCGACAATGACCCGTTTAAATTATTTTGTGTCAAAAATGGATTGGTTTTCCACTTTTCTTGTCCACACACATCTTCCCAAAATGGCAAAGTCGAACGTATGATTCGTACAATTAACAATGTTAAAAGTACACTTCTATTCCATGTTTTCCTTCCACCATCATTTTGGAGTCACGCTCTTGAAACGGCTACATACCTACTAAATATCTTGCCTACCAAAACTCTAAATCAAATCACTCCGGCTCAAGCTCTTTTTGGGATCACTCCGTCCTATAGTCATCTCCGGTTATTTGGGTGTCTTTGTTTCCCTAACCTTTCCGCGACTGCTAAGCATAAGTTAGCTCCGCGTTCTACACCATGTGTCTTTTTGGGATATCCGTCTGAGCATAGGGGTCATAAGTGCTTGGATCTTTTCACCAACAAAATCATCATATCTCGTCATGTTGTATTTGATGATAAAACTCTTCCTTATCAAAATATTAATCAATTTAGAAGCACAGATTATGATTTTTTGGGGAATGATGAGCCTTCACCTTTATTTCAATACCAGCACCTCTTACATACCCCACACTCAAGCCCGACACCCCCTACATCACCCACAATGCAGAGCAGTCCGCAAGGAGGCCACAGACCTTATCCCGCAGCCAGAACCGACCTACGGAGCTCACTGCAGTGGCCTGGACAAGCTGCCGCTGGAAAACTAGCGCACACAGCAGTGTTGCCGAGGCCTAGCCCAACGACAACTGGTTCCCCTGCACCCCGGGCAAACCTCACGGCTGGCCCAGCAACAGCTAGTTCCCCAGTGCATTCTCCAGCCTGCACCACCACGCAAAGCCCCATTACACCTCCCTCCAACTCAACAGCCTATACTCCTCCTCCTCTACAAGGTCAACCAGCAATCACTCCCACTCGACCTTTGCCATTATCTCCACAAATGCAAACGAGAGATAAACACGGGATATTTAAACCTAACCTAAAGTTTGGTCTTGTTACTACTCCCGCGCATGCTACCTATCGATCTCCGCTTCCCAAAAATCACAAACAAGCCCTATCCGGTCCAAATTGGAATGCGGCAATGGTTGATGAATATAGTGCTTTAATTGAAACGGAGACATGGGAATTGGTGCCTAGGCCTACCGGGGGTGAATATTGTCAATTGTATGTGGTTATACTGTCATAAATTGAATGCTAATGGTGATCTAGAAAGACACAAAGCTCATTTAGTGTGTGATGGCAGGTCTCAGGTTGAAGGTGTTGATTGTGATGAAACTAATAGCCCGGTTGTTAAACCGAAAACTATTCGAACGGTGCTGAGTTTGGCTATGGCTCGTAAGTGGTCTATTCACCAACTTGATGTAAAAAATGCCTTTTTACATGGTGATTTGAATTAGTATGTTTATATGCATGAACCCCCCAGGTTTGTTGACAAGAGATTTCCAGGTTATGTTTGCGGACTTCGCAAGGCACTGTATGGCCTAAAACAAGCTCCGCGAGCTTAGTACCAGCGATTTTCTAACTATCTATTGCAAATGGGGTTTGTCATTGCTAAAATGGACAATTCATTATTTATTTTCCGGCATGAGAATGATATGGCATATTTGCTGCTATATGTTGACGATATTGTGTTGATTACATCCTCAAATAGACTACGTGAGAATATTATTTCTCACTTACAGAATGGGTTTCCGATTACTGACTTGGGTACTTTGAACTATTTTCTTGGTATTACTGTTACTCGTATTCCATCATACTTGTTTCTATCATAGCAAAAATATGCATAGGAAATTCTTGAGCGCGCGGGCATGAGCAGTTGTAAACCTGCACAGACTCCAGTGGATACTCAATCCAAACTCAATGTAGACTCTGGACATAAGTTTCATGATCCAGCACTTTATCGTAGTCTTGCAAGTGCATTACATTATCTCACTTTTACTCGCCCTGATATAGCTTATGCAGTTCAACAGGTTTGTTTATTCATGCATGATCCCAGAGAGGCTCATTATGATGCATTGAAACGAATTCTGCAATATATTCATAGTACCATTGACCATGGGTTGCATTTATATCCTTCACCTCCTACAAACTTGATTACTTATACTGATGCAGATTGGGGCGGGTGTCCTGACACTCGACGCTCTACTTCCAGATACTGTTGTTTTTTGGGTGACAATCTTATTTCTTGGTCGTCAAAATGTCAGCATACTCTTTCCAAATCAAGTGCCGAGGAAGAATACAGAGGCGTCGCAAATGTTGTTTCCGAGGCCTGTTGGCTTCGTAATCTGCTTTTAGAGCTACATTGCCCTCTCCGGTAGGCCACACTTGTTTATTGTGATATTGTCAGTGCAATTTATTTATCTCATAACCCCGTACAGCACCAACGCATCAAGCACGTCGAAATGGACATTCATTTCGTTCGAGAAAAGGTGGTGTTGGGGCATGTACGGGTCTTGCACGTTCCTTCTGGTATCAGTTTGCAGACATTTTCACGAAAGACCTACCTCGACAACTATTTTTGGATTTCAGATCCAATCTTAGCATACGTCCTCCTCCGCTATGACTGCATGGGTGTAATAAAATATGATAAATATTCTAGATATTATTTTATATAGGATATAGTTTTGTGTATATTATGTAATTTTCTTGTGAGATTTCCTAACGTGATTAGGTCTTACATTTATAACCCTATATATTTGGATCAATGAAATACACTCCAATCTGAGGAGTTTCACAAAATCTAACAAATTAAATTTGACTTATATGAAAGAACCAAACCTTATCTAAGCTTTCATAATTATTACTTTAAAAAATTCGTAATCAAAATCAAGACTTTTATTTTTAAACAAGAATAATAACATGGAGAATAATTCGAGATAACATTGATATGGGTAAAGGAAAACCATTTCTAAATGTTGAGTCAATGTTACAAATTATATGTCATTGAAAGAATTGTGTCTAGTAAATACGAGTACTTGTTAGTTGTTAGTTGCACATAATTAGAAATGACATCTTATTCAGTATGATCGAAAGCCATTAGCCAAATGTCATGGTAAGCCTGTCTAGTCGCGAGGCAGCAAGCTGACGGGCAACATACTACTATATGCATGAGTCCATGTCTAATTGACTATATCACATTATCAATGGTTATTACTGAATTAAATTAGCCAATAAAATTTTATAATATTTAAGACATTTTTAAAATTTAATGTTATTATTATTACTAACTTTTCTGTAACTAAGGCAGCTAATATCGCGATGCGCACACCATATCTAGCCATGCTCGGGGAGCTCTTTCGATTTGGTATAATATCCAACTTTAGTTCTTGGTAGTACTAATTAGAGAAAAGTTTTCCCGAGAGTTAAAAAAGAGAGACAATTAACATTAATGAGGTCAAAACAGAAAATAATTATTTTAAAGGGTATGATTGTCCAAACATTATTTATAAGAGTTATCTCGAACTTTTTAAAAGGTAGGATTTCAAAGGTTAAAACGTGAAAACAAGGCTAATTACACTATTATCTTTATTTACACAAAGAATTCATTTAGCTAGGAGATGATCGATAATAACTTCCACCTAACGATCAAGGGTTGAGCGAGGTTTGATTCTCATCACCTTCAATAATCCCCCAATACCTAGTGACTAAATGTTACTATAAGATAACCGACATTTTTACTACTAGTCTTTCGATACGCTTTTCTTTATTTAGGATTCAAATTGGGATAATCTCCTTCAACTTCAATTCATGTTACATTATTGTACCTTCCATAGTACGTAATATAGTACAAGTAGACTCCCAAATTATTACTAAATAAAGAAGAGATTTTTACGTACACCTAAATATAATTAGAAACCAATGCACCCGAGTGTCTATAAGAGTTACAGAGTATCAATATCAATAAGATCTTGTTCTCCTAGAAAAGGAAAAAAAACACAGCATCAACTTGAGGTTGATAGACTACACACTTTACTTATAAAAAGAAGCTTTTTTAAAAACTATTGATAGAAAATGACCAATTGGGTTAGGGCGTGTAATACCACGAGACTTAAGCAATGATAGTTTTTAACTTTTTTGTTGTTCAACTTTTTGATTATCTGACATTTTACTGGCATCTTAATATCATTGCACACAGCAATCTAATGGCAAGCACTGGAGCTCGATCGATATAGCAGCTTAGGACATGTTTCTTTCAATAAGTGGTAGTGAGAAACTATATTAACTTTTCAGCTACTTTTCTATTAAAAGTATAAAGTAAAAACAAAACGGCCATATTGTATCTATCGGGCTTGTTAGCTATCTTAATTGACATAATCCGAATAAATGAACATTGTTTTGTAAAGTTGTCATTTATGTGATTTAAGGCTTTAATTTGAGTGAAATTAACTCTATCCCATTCAATAATGACATACGTATGTTGTTTACAATACAATTTTTTTAATTGGATTTATTATCTTATATTATACCATAGGGATAGAGTTACATAGAAGCTATTCCCATACAACTACGATAGGGATAGAGTTACATAGACATTATTTCCATACAATTACGATAGGGATAGAGTTACATAGACGCTATTTCCATACAATCATAAATCATCTACTTCGTACTCCATACTATCTTTCAGAATATAAACGCTGATTTAATTCAAATATCTTTTACTTCTAAACATTAATTTAAATATGAAATACCACCTACCCATGTATATAAATCCATGCACAAAAATACTCTTCTCAAATTTAACAAAACATGGATGATTCTTATGATTTATACTATTAAATGTCATTTGAAATATCAATTCCCTATTACTCTAGCTTGATGTTGAAGTGCAAGTATTATTGTTTGTCGTTTTCAATTAACAAAAGTTACTTATAATCTCAAATAAACCAAGGTATGTGTAATTACTAATTAATATGAAATGGAGAGATCGAGTTTAATCACTATGTGTTTCAATAGAGAAGCAAAATATTAAAATTGTGGTACACTTGTACTTGTGAGACTTGTGTCCTTAGAGATCAGACCCTAACATTGACTACAGATTGAAACCTCAGTAACTGACTTATCACCAAGTTATCTCCATTCAAATGCAACATGCATACATGACATCCTCATTAATTGGAATTTATGGTTTCTACTTCTAATGCAAGTTATGCAACATTTGGTGAACGAAATCCAAGATATCTTCTGTAACTTTTTATTTAAGAATTAATTATACGGGAGCTTTAATTTACTCTTTTCTTATAACTAACTAGGGTGGTTAATGCGCACACATAGCTAGCCATGTTTTGGAATCTCTTTTAATTTGGTTTTATGTCACAACTTTAGTTTTAAAGGGTATAATTTTCCAAACACTATTTATAAGAGTTATCTAAATTTTTTTATTTTTTTTTTAAAAAAAAGCTAAAAAACTATGACGGTAAAAACAAAAGGAAAAAAAGAGAGAAAAATGTCACGCATGTGATTTGCATGCGTAAATGGGGGTATATATGTAAATAGACATTTTAAAGGGATATAGTTGGCACAAAACTAAAAAAAAAAAAAAGCTAAAAAACTATGACGGTAAAAACAAAAGGAAAAAAAGAGAGAAAAATGTCACACATGTGATTTGCATGCGTAAATGAGGGTATATATGTAAATAGACATTTTAAAGGGATATAGTTGGCACAAAACTATTCATAAGCATTTGGTTAAACTTTTAATAAGGTAGGGATTAGCAGCAATTTACATAAATCATATCCAAATTTTATATTTTCATACCCTTTAATTTTCAAGGGGAGAAAAATAATAATTACTGTTTTCATTCATATAGCAGTGAGCTACTGAATTTTATGAACTTTAAACTAAGGGCTTAATTGTTTGATTCCTATTATAGTTTTTAGTCAAATTTATTGACTGATTTTTAACTTATATCACATAGTCAAGTATAAATGGTAAAGCATTCACATTATTAAGTCATCTTTACAACTTATTCACCAATCTACATGAGGGATTAATGGTATAGTATAGGTAAGCCATTAGCAGTGGCGGAGCCACGTAGGAACATGGAGGGACAGTTGTCCCCCCATTTTTCAAACAAAAAAATTAATAATGTTTTATGTTAGCTTAAACAGATGCTGTAAATAAGAATAAATATCTTACATGTATACCTTGTATAACAAAGATAACATTTGGTCTGGTGGTTGATCGGCTTGAGTAAGGCTTGTATTTCTCTTTGATCCTAGGTTCGATTCTTTACCCAATCATATTTTTGTTTCTTTTTGCTATTTTTGGACTTTATTTTAATTTCATTTTATAGTTTATACAAAGTGCTCCATTTAACTTCTTTTTCTTGTTTTTGGATTTTGCCCTTTTTTTTTTACTTGTTTTTGAACTTCATTATATAGTATATAATTTATATATACAAAGTATTATAAGTCTTCAAACCTCTAACTACTCTCATTTAGCTGTTTAATCAAGTATCGCCTTGTTGATAGTGAATACTAATGTGTTATTAAACTATTTGTAATGAACACATGTCTCCGTATTTTTTTTTTTATCTCTTTAATTATGTGTGCCTAAATTCTATTCTTTTTTATAGCTTGTTTGGAATATAGCTTGTTTGGAACTAAGTTTCCAATTTTTTACCCAATCATATTTTTGTTTCTTTTTGCTATTTTTAGACTTTATTTTAATTTCATTTTATAGTTTATACAAAGTGCTCCATTTAACTTCTTTTTCTTGTTTTTGGATTTTGCCCTTTTTTTTTTACTTGTTTTTGAACTTCATTATATAGTATATAATTTATATATACAAAGTATTATAAGTCTTCAAACCTCTAACTACTCTCATTTAGCTGTTTAATCAAGTATCGCCTTGTTGATAGTGAATACTAATGTGTTATTAAACTATTTGTAATGAACACATGTCTCCGTATTTTTTTTTTATCTCTTTAATTATGTGTGCCTAAATTCTATTCTTTTTTTATAGCTTGTTTGGAATATAGCTTGTTTGGAACTAAGTTTCCAATTTTATTTTTAGTCAAAGAAAGATTTTTTTTTTTTTACCCAAATCCCTTTACATCTACTATCAATTTGTTTAAATGCTTATCATTTGATAAATCGTATTTATCGATTATTGAGAATTACATACCTTAAAATTGGGGTTTACCAGCAAAAAAATGATTTTTTTGGTTAATAATTTTCTTAATATGCAATTAATCTTTTAACAACTCCTCTTTCACCATATCAGAATAATTGTCATATCTCATAAGCGATTTCAAATATATATTAAACAATTTATGTGATCAATTTTTTTTCTTAAAATTATTGTCGATTATTAAACATCTAAAATTTGTTCCCCCGAATTACACATCCTAGCTCCGCCACTGGCCATTAGCCACATATCTATGAATACTCTATATGATTTTTGATGTCACAATACAACCAATTAAAACACCATTTTTTCACATCCCATCTATCATGACGTACATATATAGTCATTTTTTTAGGAAACAATATGGAGTTGTCATATTTGACACATACATCATAATAATGCATTACACGAGATTAAGAATAACTCCGTAGTCTTTTTCTTTTTTTTTTTTTTTATTTTTTTTTTTAGGGAGCAATATATTATACGAGATACACATGACATATTTGACATACACGACTGATGCATCACACGAGATTAAGAACAACCCCGCAGTTGATAAGTAACGCTAAAGAAAGTATCATTTTATGTAATGAGTTATTTCTTCTTCATTCATCACAACTGACAAAGAAATAAAAACATTAAGCCGACCTAGGGTTTTAAATTTTAATCTATTGTTTCACAAAATTAAGACACTAGGAGCTGAAAATAATCATAACATTAGACAATACTGTTTTATGAAAAAAAAATAAAAAAAATAGTAAGAGATTCTAGGGAGAAGAGCAAAGTTTGAAATAAGTAAAATTATAATTAAATGAGCATTAAAACGAGCTCAATTGAAGCAGACCCATTATCATAGCACTTCTTTCAATTGAATATTGATACTTCTCCTATGTAAACTCTACAAGACTACAATTATTATTCTGTTCCAAATCCCTATGTCTTTATTTCATCAAATTTATGTTATAAGACCATTCTCAGCAGTGAGGAAAAAAAAAACCTCTCAATCTCTCTCTACCCACTTTCTCACTCCTCCCATACAATTTCTCTCATCAAATGTTTTTTTCACCACAACAATGAGGAGAAAAAAAACCTCTCATCACTTTCTCCTCCACTATTTTTTAATTTATTTTTTAATTACGTTTAAAAATAATTTAATAAAAATTTATAATTACGTTTAAAAATATTAATAATACTAACTGGAAATTTTTTTTATAAGAAATAATTATAATAATAATAATAACAAGAAGAAATTGGGAAAATATGTTAATTTCTCTAATTTATGGGTTTTTTTGAAAGTATATCAAAATGCATGTCTATTTATAGAGAAAAAAATTTTATGGTCGTTGGTGAATTTTTTTTTTTTTTTAAAAATAATTACAACGGTTATATTTCAAATACAAAATATAACCGTTGTAAAAAAAACAACAAAAGCAGTGGGGGCCACATGTTACTGTTCATCACCAAAAGCCCTCAACTCTTGAGGGTTTTTATTTTCACTCATCGGTGAGTGTTTTTTCACTCACTGATGTAGTGTTCGGATTTTTTTTTTTACACCCTTATTTTTACTCGTGAGGGCTTTTCTCCTCACTGCTGGGAGTGCTCTAAGTCTTATAACTATACTTTAACCTTCTGCTTATTTTTTGGCTTTATCATTACTCAAGGCTCCAACTTATATTTTTTTTTTATTTGATAATAAAATAAAGATAAAATCTCAAGGCTCTTTGGGGGACCCATTGCCTCTCTTTTAGAAAAGATTTTTTTTTTTTTTAATTTTTTTTTTAATATTTGGAAAAGGTTATGTAAAAGAGAATGAAATACCACTTTTGACCAAAAATCAGTGGGCCGTTTTATAAAGATTTTATCAAGGACCTACAAATATTGAAAATACTACAATGAAGATACACTTGTCTCTTCCAAGGATTGCACTTAAACATACAAATTAAAATCTGATAATGTTAAAAATAAATAGAAACATAAAAAATTAATAATAAAAATAAAATAAAATGGTGAAAAAAAGACAAATCATGGATTTGAGTATAGTACGTTTGAATGATACACCAAAAAATGGGAGATTACAAATCCCAAGTCCTAGTATAGAATAGAATTTTAAATCTTCCCTTCAAGAATTGGCAAAAGAGCACTATATAGAGTTAAAGAAAAATTAAAAAAATACTTTTTCCGTTTTTAAATACTTGCTCTATTTTTACGTGTGCGGAGTTTTAGGAGAAATTGGAGAAAATAATAAAATATAGAGGTAGTGGGGTTGGTGGAAAAATAAAAAAATTGTAAAAAGCAAAAGTATGTGAGAGAATTGGAGGAGAGAAAATATGAAATTAATAAAATATGATTTGTGTTGGATCCACTAGTTGAGAGAAATGAATCAAATATTGTAAAAGCTTTTCAAATAAAGAAATGGAGCAAGTATTTAAAAACGACCGAAAATAAAAAGTGGAGAAAAGGGAATATAGATATACACATAAATTAAAAAAAAAAATAAGTAAAATCCGTTTGATTTCATACCAAATGGTAAAACATCTTTACAATTACTAGTCACATCACAATATGACATGATCATGACTTACAATCCTACCAAGTTAGAGATCTTATATATGTGCCTCAAAAAAGGAGGAATATTTAAGATCATACCTACAACCTAATACCTAATGCACTACTACTATTAATCCATCCTACTCATACTAATAATAACACCAAAAGATGATTACAAATGCTAACCAAATCAACTAAAAATCAAAGTAAAATTCTAGGACCCGTAGCCATCACTCTAGTCGTTCGTAGATGAGACAGAGTTTCAGATGTACGCAATCTTATCCCTGCTAGCAGCGGCTACTTAAATCTCATAGGAACTAGGCCGAATGAAGAACCGAGGGGAAGAATGATCAGGTCTCCCATTGAAGAAGAAACTATTCCAAATCTCGGTAAAAACCCGGATTATAGTCCCATGAAGAGAAGGAGAGTTCAACTGCAAGAAACAGTTCAAAAGCTCCTTAAGATCATTTTTAGTATAAATTTGATTCTCCATTATCATTTGTAACATAGATTGCCTGAAATCCAAATACGGGTCAGTCGAATCCTTCTCCACGGCCATTGATTTAGTCCCAACACGGCCGAACCCATCAACTGATGAGGACGGCTGTGAAGAGGAAGAGGAGGAGGTTGTGGTGTCCACGTAAGGAGAAAAGGTAGTGGAGTTAATAGTCGGGTAATAACACTCATAAGGGGAGGATGAAGAGAAGTTTCTAGTAGTTTTATCCCAAGTAGTGTTAGTACTAGAAGTTGAGGAAGAGTAGGAATAATTTTGGTATTTTTGGTATTTGGGTGTTTTTGATTTTGGTTTTGGGCTAAAAATTGAAGAAAGTTTTGGTTTTCTACAATAACAGCCTAGGTTTACTGAGACTGTGTTTAGGAGAACTTTTCTTTTGTTTGAGGACATTTTTTTAGAGAGAGAAATAGGAGTGAGTGAATTTTTGGTTAAATTGGTGGGAGAGATATATAATTTGTGTGCATGTATGTGAGTGTGAATGTGTGTATATATGTATGTATGGAAATCTAGGATGACATGTGGGTGTTTGGAGTGAAGGTGACAGCCAAGCCTACTATAGTTATAGTATGGGGACCCAATGAGTAATTAAGGATCCGTGTGGTGCATTTATCTTATTAATTAATTATCAAAGACATCATATAAAATCTAGGCATCATTTGATATAAATGAAACTTTTGATCGAATTGTTTATGGATGCAGGTTCAATTGGATCATTTATCTTACTTTGACAAATAGAATATTAAGATGCGCGAAAATGTTAAATTGCATAGTTAGTTGTGTTTGATGCATTATATATTCTTCGTTTTGTTTATGGCTAGTTAGTTTTACTTATATGATATTGTGTATTATTACATCATTACATAAATTATGAATGTCAATTAGTTTAGTTGGTAAAAGTCTTAGAATAATAATATTCAAGATTTGACATTAAATCACGTCTAAATCATTGTCCATATGGAGTATGGAAATACCTTATCACATAAACTATCCATAAATATGGACTAATGGAGTACATAGGCTTTAGATACGGGGTATACTACTAAATTATGAAAAGGCCTTATGTGAGTTTTATTAAAGTATAATATAATAGATACCCGTGAAATTTCCATGCAAAAACAAAGCCTTTTAAAAAAGTTTTGGTAGAAAGTATAATGGATTAAAGAAAAAGCCATGATAAACTTTCATATTCATATACATCTTTAATTAATCGTCTCTATCAAAATTAAAATTTATAAGTATAAAATTGTGAAGAAGCAACTGGGGTAACACAATTGATGCATCTTTAATTCAGTGTCCAACAAATAAAGCACGTATATAAAAGAACTATTACAGTACTTTATTCTTAAGTATACTGGGGGCCAGTATTAGCACCTTCTTAAATCATTCATAAACCACTCTTAACTTTTAAGTACTTTGTCTTTTTTCTACATATATTTTAGATAATACAGGCATGTCTTGTTATTAATGAAGTTACTTAGTAGTTTCAAGAAACATAAATCATAATAATATTCTGTTTTATGCATTATTAAAATCCTGAATGATTCCTGTAGTAGAGTACAAACTCTGTTTGCAGACAAGAATTATTATATTAACCTGTAGTTTACCTAATTAGTACCTTCTTTATAATATAATTTAATTCCTTGGTTTAATTTTTCTAAATCTGAAATTTTGTCAGGGAAGATTTTATGCTAATTATATTGTTTAATAATATGATGTTTAAATAATCAAGTAGGAGAATAAAGTACTGCTGCTACATTATACAAAGATCTAAAACTCAAAAGCTTAATAACTGTATAATTTAGAGATGAGATTAAAAAGTCTATGTAATTAAAGTGAGTAGATTTAATTAAGGCATTAATTAAAGCACATGAGGTAGCTAGATAAATTGCATATACATTAATGTCCATATCACTAAAAATTTAATATGATTTTGGCTTTGAAGTTATCTATGTCCCACAATGTTCACTTAATTTGTAACATGTGATTGTCTCACCTCAAAACTTATATGCTATGGAAGTATTTCTATCATGGTAAAGAATATCGAAAGTAGCATTGCAGTCGTAAAGATTGGATTCAATTCGAGTCATATAAGTTATTGGGTTAATTATGATAGATACACAAATCGATCTAATTTTATGTATGGTGTTTAGGGATTCTATACGTGCATGGTTTGGTTAGGGGTAAATAGCTACTCCAATCATGTTCGTTATTTAACACTTAGTAAATTAATTGAACATCCGAGTTTTGGTGAAGGTTTGAATGGAAGGGGCGCATATAGTATTTCGATACCGACATACCGTGATCCACACATAGTATGACTCTAGACTATGGTCCATAAACAATAAGAAGGCTATATACGTTGGTAATTATATGAGAGGCGCAAACTACCAACCTAGGATCCTCTTTGTATGGCTAGACAAAACTGCAAGTAGACTTCGACATTGCTGGGCCTCGGTTGAGGAAAATAACTCCAGCAGGCAAGACAAATATTTAGACTGATTGACATGCATGCTATGTATTAGTGACAAAATACAACCTTTAACTACAAAACTACCAAACAATTCATCTTGTCTTCTTATGAATTATGTATGATTAGCATATTTCACTAAAAAAAAAAAAAAAAAAAAGCTGATGTCCTAATATTTTGAGGTAGTTCACAAGACATCCCCGGCGATTTAAGTAGTTAAAAGGTTCCTCTAATCAAAATTTTAAATGCTAATACACTTGGATGCTCTAGTAATTAAGGTATTACTTTTTATTCAAGCATAAAACAGGTGGCCATAATGTCTAATTGCCGATCAGTTTAAGAGTTGGACAAGCAATATGATCAAGGAAATAATTAGCAAACCTGCATATAGTACTCTGCAGCAGCAGCAGCAGCAGCAGCTTACATGTTTGCATTTCGTTTACACGTATGATGAGGCCTCACCGTAGTCCGTAGACATGGATGGCTGCTGATATCCTTCAGAAGATGAAACAGACGATTGTAATGAAACTGCTGAAAAAAGACAATTTCTGTAACTTCCAAACTGATTTTTTTTTTTATTATTTGCATTGACTGTTCAGATAGAAGTAATATTTGATCAATATCTCAGAAATACAGGGACCTAAGGATAGAGCAATTCATTATTTCATTATGTACACAGGTGTAGCAGCAAACGAAACGTACATATGACAAACTTGTATCACTTAAGCCATTACAGAATCTATAACCAGTTAACTTTCAGAAGAAGTGTGGAGAATAAAGTAAAAGAAATAAGGACCAGGAAGGTAACATTCTCTTCATTGTTTACTCATCAAATGGAGAGCCAGACGACAGTACAGTGTTTACAAATGTTTCTTAAGCAAGCCAGCTACATGCTGGGCAACCCAAGTGGAGCCAGCCTCAGTGCAACTAAAAGCATGGTCGTGACCCTCTTTTTCGATTGACAAAGAAACATCAGGAACTTGTTTGGAAATCTGTAATTAGTGCAGAAGAAAACAGAGTTAGAAAAAATTTGTCCAACAGACAAAGAAACATCAGAAATTTGTTTGGAATATTCACATCATTGTCTGTTTATTTATCATCTGTCAATCTGTCATCACATAAGATATTATTTGTCTCTTATATCTAACAGAATACTGGACCTTCTAAGCAAATACTAAGTATGAAATGTGCTTTCTGCCATGAGACAACACTTGCAAACTTCCAGTTTTGACTAGAATTTAAAACTGTGACAGTTTAACTTTGCAGAGAGAGGGATCAAAGTCTTTTTTGCTCCACCTTACAGAGCTCTTTCTAGTAAACAATAAGCTCAATTCTCAGATACTAGACTTCTTCATTTTGTCTCAAGTACCACCATTAGATACCTGACACCCTATATAGGCACGGTCACTTGGGCACTTCAACTTCAGTCAGAGAAGGGAAATTTGAAACTCTCTCCGTTCCATAACATTTTGCATGCTTGTCTTTAGTATGGATTTTAAGAAGAGGATAAAAAGAGAAAATAAGAGAAACTTCACCTTCATAAGCAAGTGTGCAAAAAATTTGGGACACCCAATACAGGCAAATGTGCAAGAATATATGGGATAGAAAGAGTAATTCTCTACCAACACTATATGCCAATAGAAAAGGATATTGTCCTTTTCCATGGGCTAAATGATAATCGAATAATTCTAATTCTGTCCAGTATCCCCTTTTCTCAAGTTAAGGTAATGTATTAATGGAAGAACTCTGGATCTATAACCAAAGTTGACATTTGTACAAAAGAACATTGAGCATCACAGCATACAAAAGAAGCAACTACTATCTTAAACTGAAATCGGCATTTTGATTAGGTTTAGGTGTTAACCTGCTTCAAGAAGAGACTTATTGATCAAGGACACATTGTACAAGAACAAATAGAGACTAGAAGATATGACACCACAGTTAGAGAAATAGGGGAGAGGATTCTATTCATCAAATTTCCGTTTCAGACAATAGTTCAGCCTAATACTAAATTCCAACCAAAGCAACATAGATCTAAATCATACTGTACAATATCAAAACGGCTCAATCAACTATACAATACACACTCCGTCGTCAAGGTTAAGCAGCAGACAGTAAGTAAGTTCTACATCAGCAGTTAATCATAAACAGGCCCTGTTATTGTTTGGGTAAGGCTGTGTATATCTGAACCCCCCTTATCCTAGAATGAGCAAAAGAAGACCCCTTCAGAGGATTTGAGGTGATGCCTATCTTGATGTATTGTGTCTTAAGCTCCCAACTGCCCAACTACACAACTTTGACAACATTCCCAAAGAAGTGAGAATAAGAATACTATGGTCTCAGCTCAGCAGAAAAGATGTGCTCAACAACATTTGCATTTGGACATATACATATGCCATACAGAATGCAATTACAGTCACAAACTGATTTAAGTTTATGGTCAGAATCAACAAAATTTTCCAGAGTATATGAAGAGGCAGAAGCAACATTTTGGACGTGAATAAGGATCCAAACCATTTATGCATCTGCTGATATAAATTTACATAGACGTTAAATACGTAGTATGCAATTGCAATCAACAGGTACACAGCTAGGTGCTGAGGTGTAGCAGTATGGTTGAACAATTGAATATCTTAGAATGACCAGACTTGAATCACATACCTCTTCAAACAATGACAACGGACCCCAATGATCATCAATGCCAAATAAAAATGCTATTTGATTTGGCTTAGCTTTCAGGAAGTCCCAGTCTGGTGCTTCTGAAAACTGTTATAAAAAGCAATCAGAAAGCACTAATTATTCTTCTTCTACCCAATTTATCCAATCATTACAAAAAGTAAGACACTTCATTCATTTTTTTCACATACCAGAAACTTTATTAGATTTAGTTAAAGTTGCAAGGGTAATGCAATGTTGGCATATAATATTGCATTGTTTATGTAAATTAGCATATATTCTTATGTTGATTTGACTAAGTAGAGCATATAATGTTATGTTGTTAATGCAGAGTTACTGATATTTAGAAACAAGAAAATCAAATTAATATGGCTTAATGTAAAATAAGAGAGACATTTTCTTATGTACAACAAAGCTTTACATTTATTTACTAGTCTTCCAATAGTATTCTAACCAATGAGTTGTCTACAAATATACATTCTTGTTTAGACGGCAGAAAACTCTCAAAATAGAGAAAGATCTTCCTCAGAAATTGCAAACTATACAAGACACAATATATTAAATTCAATTCTAGGAAATTGTATTTCTCTTCCTACCAACCAAGTACTGCAAGGACATCCATAGCATCATGCTATCATATAAAACAAGAGAAACCATATTAAAAAAATACATATCAGAAGTATACCTACAGACAAATAATTAGACAAATTTACCTTCTCAAACTCTGTCTTTGCCATAAACAGCATATTTTGCATTGTATGGTACTGCATTTTTTAATATGAACAAACAATAAATAAGAATTCTTTCATTTCAAAATGTATATAACTTGGCAAAAAAAAAAAAAGGAGGAAGATCCCTCAAATATGGCATAATACAAAACAATAGAGTTCTCTTGTCTTAGCAAAAAGCATTCAAAAAGGGATGTGTTGAGTTCCAATTATTATGATCAAGAAAGCATTTAAGCTGCACAGAAGAACATAAATTTCTTGGTAGATGTACAGTCTGATTTATGAGCAAAGCCTTCATAAAACTGCCCCCAGCCTCATCGTACTGTCCACGGGAACGGAGGGAGCAATTTATGACCATCAAAGTAAATACTGATTCTAGGCTGTAGTGTAAGTGAAAAGTAAGAGAAACATAATCCCACATACAATAGATCTGAAGAAAGTCTAGTTGACCAGACCATCCTATGCTGGTCAAGATCACATTTTATGACCCAAACAAGTCACAGTTTTCTTTCGTCTAACTTAAGCTAATTTTTTCTCTCAAAAATTGAAGGGAGGATGGTGGATATGGTTTAAGCAAAGTTAATAAATTTTAGCAATGAGATGTAAATAAACAAATTGGATTACAAAATGTTTTGATGGCGTGAAATAAAAAAAAACAGATAAAACTAGTCAAGAAGTGAGTTCACTTGTGTCTCATTTAACATGTTTAAAATCCAAGCCCGACTCAATATTGTAGACCTTGTTTAATAACATCTCGATGGAAACTTCTAGGTAGACATCTATTCCTAACTTGTTACTTCCTCCGTTTTTTATTAGATGCATCACTTTCTATATATGGAAGTTTCAATTTAGATGCATCACTTTCCCTTTTAGTGAATAAATTGTCTCTATCTCTCTCATATCACATGGGCCCCATTTATTTTTTTTCTCTCTGTCTCTCTCTACTCCAAAAATTGCCTAGGAGTCCGCAATTTTCAAAGTGATGCATCTAATAAAAAACGGAGGAGGTTATAATAGCACACCTTCTTATCCAGATTTTGGAAGTCTTACCTTCAACAAGTGGGAGCAAGCAGCATCTATAGCAGCAGCAGACCATGAATTGCCTAAAGTCGTCTTCACAATAAACCTTGATAAACTGGGGACAACACCCAGCAGAGCTACTATAGAGCTTACCAATGAACATACTATTGAAGACCTGGAAATTTGACCAAGAAAATGGACCGTTCAACTAAGGTATGTAGGGTAAGGGGGTGGGGGGACAGCAGGATGCAGTCAGGAGCAATAAGTCTCGTGAAATCTCAATCTAGAAAAGAAATTATAGACTGCCTCATTTGTGCAAGCCTCACATTGTACAAAGATAATGCAAATAATGCCCACCACAACAGGCAGCAGCAGGACTGGCCCTAAGACAGAACGATAGCTCTTGCAGGTCTTAAACAAGAATTTTTTTTATCAATTTAGTTAGTGAAGCAACTCAATAGCCTACAAGTTGGCGACTTAATATCTAAGTTTGACAAAGCATGATTTTCTACACATGACGCTCATCACATTCAACTAGCTAAGTGAATAAAGACCTAAAGTGCCAAGGAACATAAGAGTAAAATTAATGTGCTATACAGAAAGCAAAGCACAGATCACCACTCATCCCTCATCTTTGTGCCGACTAAACACAAAAATTGCATCTGAGCAGTTGATCCAGGATGTGAAAATATAAGAATAAGCAGTGACGTCATTAAACATCAAGAAGTAAAAGCAAATTTGCAATATATATACCACACCATGCCATTGCCCAACACCTAGCATATCACTCCCACCTAAGGCGGGATTAAGGGTGTTCAATGTATGCAGAAAGAAGCTATTCCTGATGGACTCACAATGGGAAAGCCTACTACTTAATGTTTTATAAATACTCCATAAGCAATAATAGAAAGTCAGATATACATTCAAATTTGTTCATTCAGATGAAAATATGAGATATGAAGAATTAAAGGGCATAACACAAAGACAAAATATCTGCACAATAGCTAACAAGCAAATGTGTAAATATGTTAGAAAACTCCTAGACAATAATCAGAAGAAACTGAACAAAAAAACATTATAATTGTTTTTTTTTTAGTCATTTGAACGTCAGTAAAACAGCAACAACCTGGTATAAATACCATCAACACAAGAGCAATGCAGCAATTGTGTTTAAGCAACATTTTGAGTTGTGTAAAGTTGCTAAAATTAAAATGCAACTCTTATCTTGACGTGGAGTGTAAAGATAAAAATTTACTCTGCTAGCTTCCTGATTACAGTTTGCTTTGATGATTTGGAATTTAAAGCCAAGAAAGGGTATAGCCCAATGAAGTATATAACCTGGAAAGATAAATAGCATCCAGATTAATCAATTGAGAATAAGAAAGAAAAGGTATGAAAGTAGTAGTATATGATGATTTCTCCAACATAGTTAACTAAACACCACCTGTGAAGCTCTCTTAAACATTTCAGATGCTATATGAGATCCAATAGAGTGCCCAACCTTCAAAAGAACATACAAGTCAGATAGGATACTTCTGAAAGGACAGCTGATACAGGGCAATGAGAGAACCATCCCCAAAAGCTAACTCAAAGGGTAGAGAGCCCATATATAAACCCCACGTCAGCTTCCCATATGTCTGATATGGGACTGGGTCCCATACCTTGCAATGAAACCATATCAACAAGACAACAAGTATTGCTCAAAACTTTTAAAAGGCTAACTCCGTAGAACCACGCAAAAGTATTAAATTATGCATTTGTAACATTTGTATTTCTACTACATTATTGACCAATGGTTGCTAGAGTATTTCACCAAGATTACAGGGTAATCAGAACAATGACAAGCTAATGGAGAAAAATACACTCAATAATTAAAATGTCAGAAAACTATAATATTCTGCATTTTTTTTTTTAATTTACAAGTGCTCATAATGTCAAAGCTATAACAAAAACAAATTTTATTTCAGAAAAAAAAAAAAAAAAAAAAAAATATTAAATAAATTTATTAATCAAACAACAGTCCCAAAAGCTAAGACAAGCATTCAAATATCATATGACAACCAATAATGTTCAATTATCGCCAGGACTGTGCAACTACTTGGTAACGTGGGCTAAATGGATTTTTATTGCTTTTGGAAATGATGAGAACTGCTAAAAACCTAACATGAAGCCCTCCAATAGGTGCTTGTGGATATTGTTCTATCAAGTCACAGGGATTTAAATTCTTATCTGAAGCTTATTAATAGGAATCCAAAAAAAAAAAAAAAAAAAAAAAAAAAAAAATGGAAGTTCACCCACCAGTATGATTGGAGCACTATTATTTTGGAGTTCATGGGCAATATAATCAATCTGCAGCAACAAAAACATAGCACATCAATGATTCATCTTGCACCTCAAAACAGCTTTGCCAAGTAAATTAACTCTTTAACTCGACACAGAAAATTACTGTCTGTAACCACAAAACAGGTACAGGGCTTAATCAAGAACAATTACACATTTACATGACAGGAGAAAGTTCCCCCTGCAGTCAGCAATGCTCAATTACACTACTTTAGGGACGTATGCAAATAAGAATAAAAAGAATGATACTTTCGATGTGTCAGAGCTTGATCATAAGAAAATTGGAAAAAGTATTTTTGGTTCTTTCCACTCGCCTAATTGGTGCTAATGACTTGACTATTTATGAAGCAAAAATTAATTTTTAAAAATGGATGGAATTAAGGCCTCAAATCCATTTCCAACTAAGCATAATAAAATAATTACCAACACAATCACAAATAAATTACAGTGCAACGCAAAGCCAAAGCTAAAATTTCTCTTGTTCTTTATTTTATTTAGTGGAGTTTACGAAGCCAAAGCAAAGCTAACCCCAGAAAAAAAATCTCTAGTTCTTAATTAATGTACTGACTCCCATGTCCCAACCCTTTGTCATAGTACCAACAACGCCTAACTCCAGGAATAGAGAAAAACGGTATACAGAATAGTACATAAGTTTAAACTCAATATGCAAAGCATGTATAATTTTCTATTATCATATAAAACCAAATTATCCTTCGCCTTGTGGTTTTAGCACAATGTACTCGACAAATTAAAATCCAAAATGATATGTGTTAAATGGCCCCATCTCAGTAAACTGCAACCTTACAAATAATAACAAAATAGTAAGGGAACAAAAAAAGCCAACCTTGTGGTTAATTTGGTCTTCCAATGAGAATAAGCGTCCATGCTCCCAATCCTAGCACACAATCAAATGCAATAAGAAAGGCAGTCTGAAGCATTAAGTTATCCAAAAGAGAGGTGCCACGCCATATTTTCATTCATCGATTTTACACGTATACAAAATATTATTATAACAAGCCAAGGAGTATGCACACACCACTCCACAACTTTCTTTCTTCAAACAAGAAAAATTAACCAAAAAGGTATTTCCATCCATTAAAGGAAAAATACAACGATGTAGCCTAATATTGAGCTAATTACAATGAGATAACCCCATGAATTAATAAGTACGGGATACATATTTACAGTAAGGTAGCCTATTTGAAATACAACTATTGGCTAAAAATAAATGTTAATGTCCTTAATAAACTACCAACAAGATATTGGGAAGAGGGGGGGGGGGGGGCTGTTTCTTATTTTCTTCGCCGATCCAATACCACCACTTTCCCCAAATTATCGACCTACTTCTCCTCCCAACTCAAGCTCACAACATGGAACAATCATGGAGCTCTTTTTGCATTCCTTCACTAAATATCTCTCCACCATAGTCACCGTCATTACCCCTTTCCATCTACTAAGTGCTTAAACACATATTTACATAGAATATTGGAGTTGAATGAACTGACCAAAAAATGGAGGCACGACAGCTTTTTACACCAGATAGTTATAGAAAAATCAAGTATTGAGTTAAGTTTCTAAATAGACACCCTTAATAGTACTAGCCCAAATGTTTAAAAGTCAAGCCACTCACTCAAAATTTTCCATCATATAAAGAAATCCCATCATCAAATCACTACACGCCGTGTTTTAACAGTATCTATGTAGCTATTCGTAGCTATCATATGCATATCATCATGCATAACTATCATAACACGTAATCTTCATAACTTTTACTTAGAGCAAATAGTAATACAATTTCTCCTACAAGGATCAATTACATTTTAATAAGCAAGTCACTACTCAGACATAAGGTCTCAACAGTCAGCAAGTACCTTGCTTGTGTGGGATATGTGCCCAATAGCTGTGGATCAACACAACAGAAACAACTCCATTGATACATTTCGGGTCGAATATAAATGGTTTAAAAAGAGAAGAGAAGCCAAATCATGCCTGTAATTGATGCTTTTCCACCAAGTTCCTCATACAATGACTCCACAAAATCGTTGTAAAATGTTACAATACCTGAAATACAACCACCTAAATCATTGTTTACCAACCCAAGTTGAGGAATAAATCACATAAACCATAAAGAGAGAAAAAACAACAAAACCTGGATTTCCAGGGATAAACAAAACATGCATTGTGGGATTTGGAGCCTGAATTTCCAGCAACTCTGTCATATAACTGAATCCAACATACTTAGTACATAACTATGTAAAAACCAATTTACACAAACACATATTCCAAAAAGAATTCAGTCTTTTACAGACAAAAATAACAAGAACACACAAAATCGAAAATCCATTGCAATTAGAGAAAGGCAAAAACTTGTACACAACGCGTATGGGGTGTATTGTATACATCAGGATTAGTTTCCCAAACACGAGAGTACAGTAACACTTTTATGTGATCTTAAGTGACTAAAGACAGTTGTATAAAATACACCCGTTTTGTACAAGACCTATCTTCGGATTAGTATCACAGTATATATCACAAGAAATTGACCATCACTTACCCAGATACATTGCACATTCGAAACTTTGCAATTTTTGAATACTCAGGATTAACACTGCCAGCACCCATCTGTACCCACTTGCAATGTATGTTGTTCTTCAATCTGAAATAATCACAACTTGTGGAAATTAAATTAAGTAGCTAATCGGTGAAGATCAAAGTTTTAGGTTTTTTTTTTTTTTCAATTACTCACTTCAATTCAACTAATTTTTGATAACTCAATTTAACCACAAAAATTAGCAGAGAAAAATACAATGGAGAATTACCTGGAGAAGAAGAGTGGGTGTTGGGTGTTAAAGAATGATCGAGCAATTAGAGAGCATAGTAATAACCTGAACATGATCTAAGATTTAAACTACATTTTAGTAAATTTTTTATTTTTTATTTTTATTTTTGGACAGGAACGAGTGGAGAATTGATTCCAAGATCACCTGATTGAGAAGGGAGCTTTAAGCACTTGAGGTATCCCTCACTCTCTGGGCTTAGTCAATTGTTATTTCACAATTGGCATGATATCTCTTTATTGTGCTAGGAGGTGTTTTTGGAAGCTTGGTATGAGGAAGTTATGGGTCTTTTATAGTTTTAGTAATGTTGGATTGTTCTCGGGTTTGGGATTTAACCTCTATTCCTCAAATTCTTGTTTTCACGTAGTAATTGCCCCATTTGTACTAAAACAATTGGATGTTGCTTGAGTGTTTTTTTTTTTATTTTATATTTTTTGTGAAACATGATGTTGGTAGAGATGTTAAAGGAGAGGTGTAAAATAGATTTAATTCAAGTCTTGTAAGATCACCGGGATTAGGCTATATACTTATATCACATTAGGCTCATGTTGGGCCATGTGACCACATAGATCAAATTTTGATTGGGATAGCTTGTGGAGTTGATCTTGAGTTGGGTAAAGTTAGATAATTTCAACAACGGGGTAATTTATGTACTATTGTCTCATGAAAAAGCAATTTCATTAATTGAATAATGTGGATATCAAATTGTGTCTCCTCGATTAACACCCAACAATTGGGCTATGCTGTTTGCTATTAAGTTCGGTCTCAAAAAATTGGCAAAAAAAAATACTTATGTTATCAATATCGTAATAGTTGATGGGCCTGGAATCCAAGATTAAATTTATTTTAAGAGCCTAACTAGACCTTACTAGGCACATAAGGCTTTTCAAGACCCTCTTCGCATTCCTCTTGATATATTATGCTCTCTTCCACGTACACCAATTTGAAACATGAACGAAATATATTATTCCCTCCATTTCGAATTAATCGCAACAGCTGACATATATGTCAATACATAACTAAGTTAAACCATTATTATATTATACAAGACAACATTAGTTTTATGATTATACATCCTCTACTTTCGATCTTTTAAATGTAACACTTCTTATTACACCCTTGTTAATGCATTATTTTAATCATTAATATCTTATATTACTATTATGTAAAAATTATTTTTAAAAAAAATGATATTAATAAAGTATAAACGAAGACGATTTTACAAGATCACACATGATCAATGGCGGATATTTAAAGGGGCTTGTGTGGGCTTGGTCCCTGAAGCAATTGGAATATTTTGTTAATCAAAGTATCTAATGCATGGTAATTTGCATGCCAATTGACAGAAAAAGGTTAAAATATCAGATATTTATTTTTTTTTACATGTTTTTTAGCACAATATTGAAATTTCATTTAATTAGTTTGAGTACTCAATCTTAAGTTGACAATAGTAACCAATCATTAATGCAGTAAGAAAAAAATTCAAATCGATAATATAAAGATATATATTGAGATGTCACTGTTAATGGTTTGAAAATAATTTGAAAATAGATTAATCTAATAAATTCTTACATGACTATGTATTTCTCATGTATACTTCACAATTAATGGTCAACGAAAGGTATGTGAATAGTGGAATGTCCAATTGTTACGATATTTGAACGAAGTATAAGTTCGGGAGAAATGTATTTTTAATTTTTTTATGTTTATCTTAACTAACTTTAAGTCTTGTATATATATACTACGACATTCTATCTTAGAACATATCGGCCCCTAAAAGAAAAGGTATGAAGATCCGTCACAGCACATGATTATATTTAGTCTTAATCATAAATCATTAAAGCTAGTCAAAGTGGAGTATATAAATAGTGTAAAAGTTAAAGTGTTGCATTTAAAAGAATAAAGAGGAAGTATATTGGTAAAAAAAAATTATAATTGTAGTCAAAGTAAGTATGTAAATAATGCAAAAGTGAAACCGTTACGTTTAATATAAAGTACAAGCAAATCTAGAAGACTAAAATAAATTCTGAAGCAATTAAGTAACTCTTTTTAACAAAAAAAAATACAAAATACTTCTACATTAGGTAGCCCTTCTACAAGCTACTATATCCACGGGTGGCTCTTCATAAAGACATTCTTTTAGCTCTTGAGCATGGGATAAAAATATTCTAATTGAAAGTGATAATACCTTAGTAATTTAATGCTTCGTCATATCTTTCAGGAGTCAAATTAAGCAGTGGATTGAATTGCAAATGTTGGTCATTTAATTAGTAATAATATTTAATTTTTCTTTATCCTCATCCTTACTTTCGACTTATTAGGAATTCCCTTTATGAGGGTTTCTGGATTTTTTTTCCCTTATCATTATTTTTTTTCGAAAAAATATCCACAAGTATATGCATTTTAGAATGGGACATGCAGACGTATGACTTCTAATATTGACTACTTGGTCAACATAAATTTAATACTCAATTATGGAAGAACCTCCCAAAAAAAATATTTTAAAAAAAACGTAATATATTTACAAGGGTGCATGCCACATAATCAATTTTACAAATTTCATTAATTAATCAAATGATTTCATTACCGTGTTGATGTAAAATTTAAAACATGAAAAAAAAATATATTAAAAATAAAGAAAACAGCCGTTTATTTTCATTATCAGAGTTGCTGAAGTATTAATAAACAAAAAAATAATACTAAATCCAAGTTGTTGAAGAAAATTATAATATACTCGGTAGTCAACTGAAAATACTTCAATTCAAACACTCAAAAGAGATATAGAGACGATAATCGGTGAGTCATACACTCATACAAGAGTACATGACCAATAACACTACTAATAACTTTTTAAACTCAATCATATGTTACATCAATTAGTATTACACTTTTTTGTTAAACAATGCTAATACATTAGCTTTGAAGGAACGTTAAGGTATGCAACTATTATTCCTTTTTTTTTTTTTTTTGACAGGATAACTATTATTCTCTTTTTAATTTCCTCTTAAGCTATACAAGTTCACTCGCTCAAATATCCTCTTTATTCTCTTCGATCGTTTTATTGGTATGTTGTATTTAAATTATTTAAGTTTAATTACTTTACTAATGATTAGAAATTAGAATACACCATTTTTCTATCGATATTATGGTCATTATTAAATTATGGTCATTATCGATAAATGTATCTTTGATTTCGTAACAAATACAATAAAAATTTAATATTTAAAAAGTACACATTATTAATACGGATTACGGAGTATGAATCAAGAAGCATATCAATATACGGAATTTTTTTTTTTCTTAAAGATAAGTGTTAAAAAAAAGTCTTAAGTTTTTGGATCATAAAATCATAACATATCAAATTAGAATATAGTTGCCTGTACATTAAACTCTAAAAAGTGAGATGGTAAATTTTCCATAATCAATTCGCCAAATGAAAACAAGCCCATAAACGCCATGTGACGTACGATTTTTCTCCTTAGCTTTAATCATTCCTTTTTTTTCAATCTCTTTAAATTGTATAATTCCATTCCTAACTTAGGCTTTGCCTTAGTTTCACTAATTACAAGTAAGTTCAGATAATATATGATAAGTTAAGATAAAAATTAAATAAGATCTGATAAGTGAAAAATTAATAAATTGAACACACCCTAAATTTATATTTATTTTTTATTTTTTTTATTTTTTTTTTGTTGGTCATATTTCAATGGTCTATGTTGTCTTCTTCTCCTCTTAAAATCTTCATTTTTCTCATAACAAAAACAAAAACATAAACATATGGTAAATTTTTTTTGTTTTTTTTCAATTGTACTATTAACAATTCATGTGACATAAGGTTAAAAAAATTTAATTAGTAGTATACATTCTTATAAATATTAAAAAAGACACGTCATAATCTTCAACTTTTTATGGTTGATCATCTTTACACAACAGTAGCATCTAATTGTGAATGGGTCCGCCTATCGGAAGTTAGTATAGTGGATTTCTAACATCATTAATATTAACATAATTTAAATTTGTGTCAATTATTTTAGACAAAGTTAGATAAACTTTGGACACTATTAGGTATCAAAAAAGCAACTAACATTAACTAAATACTTCGTTACTTCGTATTATAATCAAAGCTTGTGCATATCCCCTTGGCAATTGACCAAATTTCCAATATATCAGCTTCATTATTATCCAATAAAATAATACTAGTATTACTATTATACATTTATACTCATACTCGTATATTATACGATTAAGATAATGAGGTATCAAACATCAACTTTTCTACTATTTCTTCAAGGTATGAGGTATCGTTATACTCGCATGCATTAGTCGTCGTATATTATAAGATTAAGATTTTATGATATTATTCAAAGCTGACTAAAAAGAAAGTAAACTTCATTTAATTTAATAGAATTGCATAGAGATCAAAGGTTCAACTACCGTCATAGTAGTTCAAGAACTTACCAAACACGTAACTAACGTTTTAATGTTTTATTTTATCCACCATTTGCAATTTAATTGGAAGTCTAATACCAAGTATTTGTTTATTATGCATGGGTTAACCGATGAATAATTATATCTAGGTTATTATTACGAAAAAAGTTGAGTGAATTAACTGAATTTGAAAGTTAATGTTCTATTTTATCTAGCTTAGCTCACCGAATCCAACCCGACCTAATTTTATTGAATCCGACTCAAACACCCGAATTAACACCTTTACATTTAATGAATAGGCGAAATTTAGTGACTAAACATATCCAATTCTATTTTTTTTCATTTTGTATTATTTATTAATTTTTAAGCAATTTTGAGGCCGGATTTTATATTTCATATGTTGAGTCTATTGACCTTGTAACAGGTTGCGAACTTGATGGAGACTCAAAATCCCTAAGATGTGACACAATCTTTTATTGAACCAATTTAAATTTAATATTTTTATCAAACCATGACATGCGATTAAACACATTCAAGAGCTCTAATTTAATGTATGGACGTTACTCTTTTTGTTCTTATTTTTAAAATTATTCCTATTTGAAAGATGACATTTTTATATTTTTCCAATTGAAGTTTTTTTTTCTGAGGGAATTTTCAATTGAAGTTGATATGGAGTAAATTACCAAGTACATTCTATGTTTCTATGTGTACCTTAAATTAATGTTTATCCTATTTGACTTATGTCATAATCATTAATATATATAAATCTTTGAAACAATGATAAGATCTAATATGAATAATCAAATATATATAAGGGGAGTTTTTTCCCGAGTTTTTAGAGAGCCACATAAGATAGAAATTTCTTAATGCGCCATGTAGGATTATAAATTTTAGTGATAGCCAATCAAATAAGAAAAATGTAATTTCTTTTAGAATTAAATAATTCAAATGCCATATAAGTAAAATTAGCGAATCAGATTTTTAAGTTTAAATTAATTAAATATAATATATTATTTTTGAAATTAGGAATTTTATCTAAATATATAACGAATGAATGGAAATTCACAATTTATAAATACAAAAAAAAATTATTTAAAAAAAATATAAACAAATCGTGCATCGCGCGAGCTACATCTAGTATTGTTTCTATAATATACTCATATTAATGAATACTTTAAGGTCAAAAATAAAGATATACCGTTAAAACAACCAATATAATAAGGAACTTGAAAAAATCAATTATAATAAATCTATTTTAAGGAGGGTGTAATTTATTAACCTAACTTTCACTAATTGACACAAAATTGAATGAACTTATTTTAGGTGTAAAGTGAACTTAATTGGTAGTTCAATCCTTATAAAACTATATTTGACAATGGACCAACCATTTTTTTTATATAAAAAAACAAGTAATGATCTCATGCAAAAAAAAAAAAAAAAAAAAAAAAAAAAAAAAAAAAAAAAAAAAGTTTGCTTAGTGTATATGCCTTAAAATACAAATAAAGTAATTAATTTTTAAAATACCGCAGGCATCGCAATAACACCCACAATGTCACACAATGTCATAGGAAGGGGGTCACTATGACACCCACAATGTCACACACAAGACAATCAACCAACAATTCAATTCAACCAACCCAAATTGTCACACAATTAAATCACCAAGGTATAACAGCAACAATGCAGTACCAATACCAGCAACAATAGGAATAAATGATAACAAATAAAACACATGCGAATTATACGTGAAAAACCCTTTTGATGTGAAGGATAAAAATTAAACCACGAGACCGTTTGAGGAGTCCACCCTATACTTCTCTTATTGATAAATTAAGGGAAAAAGAACCCTAAATCAGTCTACAAAGGATTCATACGCCCACCAACAACAACAATAAGAGATCAAAATTAGATAACAAAAGGTGTAGAATTCACCCAAAAATAGCAAGTCTGTCCAGCAGCAATTCTGACCAAACTAGAGCTCAATAAGACGATCTGACCGTCCAAAATGAAGTCTTGATGTCTAGAACAAGCTGGTAATATTTCAGCACGATCCAACAGTGGAGTTTTTGGCAACGATCCAACAGTGAAAGTTGCTCTAAAAAATCCGAGAATGGCTACTTCTAGAACCCTCACTTTGCTCTCTCTTTTTGTGTTGTGCTAGCTGCTGCTTTCCTCATACTCACTACCTTAAGGGTTACTCCATTAAGGCTTACTAAATAAGCCATCAAGTTTAGTCTTAAATTAGACTTTCACAAACAAGTAAATTGTCATAAAATTGAGCCAATAAATGGACCACAAAAGAAGCAGATTTTACCAACACTTGGGTGGGAACCATAACATCTCATACAACATAATATTCTCATAACTTCATAACATAAGATATGTTCAAGTTTGAAAGTGTGTTACGTTTCTAGATAATTCAAAGTGTAATAGAAAAGGTTTAAAATTTCATTGTTTGAATAAGGTAATTTCAGGTATAAAAGCTACATACGAGGTGTATGTATTTTCTACAACTAAATCTAATGAGAAGTAATATCTGACGGAAATACAAGTCACAAACTCACAACCATAACTCGCGTGTACTTCATATCTTATCAGCTTCATACCTCGTAGTATATGGACTTTAGGATGTTATTTTTGGCACCCAAATTTGGTTTTATTCCCAAATCAAGGAATTCTTCTAAAGTAGAAAAAAGAAAAATAAAGCAAGCAAGAACAATATGGAGGGAAATGAGTGAAGCAATAAATTAGTAAGACTAAAAGCGAAAGAATAACTGCCCAAACGGTGGACTGAATCTTCGCCCTATTTCATTATCATCATCATCCCTTCTTTTTTTTTTTTTTTTTCGCAGGCGTCCCCGGCAAGTAATATTCCTCCCCATTTTCTCTCTCCTTTTTTTTTTTTCTTCTCGAATTCAAATACTTTTATCCAATCATCATTCTTCATTTTCTTTAACCACTCTTTTTTTTTTTTTTTTATTAATCTTCCCCCTTTTTTTTCTCTTTTGTACACAATATATATAATACCCTTTGGCTTGTAAACTTCAGTTTCCTCCTTTTTCAAGTTTTCTTAATTTCTTTTAAACCCCCAAAAATTAAATTCATCAAAATTCGATGATACATTCTACTCTATATCTGTAATTTCCATTGAATCTTCTGTTCAATGTGATTGACCTCTGTTTTTATTTTTGTGAATATAAATTTCTGGGTTCTGACTTCTTCAATTACTCATTTTTTGTTAGAACCTTTGATCATTTCGCAGTTATATAAATCAATTCCTTATTCTTCTTCATTCATACTTTGATTTGTTGATATAGTATATGGTTTTTCGTAACGCAATCTGAAATTGATCATCAAAAATGTTAGGAGATTTCATCGGAAGAGGACTTTTGTAAGTGATTTGTTTCATTCTGTTTTTACTTGAACTTTCGATTACATTTGTTTGATTTTGTACTCTTAATTCGTTTTATACAAAAAATTGCGATTCAAGTAAAACCGTCTGATACAAGAATTTGCAATAGTAGTAGTATTAGTTGATTCGTGTTAGAGAAATTTTGTGATTCAAATTAAACCGTCTGATAGAAGAATTTGCGATTGTAGTATGGTATTGGGGTTTGCATACCCAGCATTTGAGTGTTTCAAAACGGTGGAAAGGAACAAAGTTAACATCGAAGAACTCCGGTTTTGGTGTCAATACTGGTACGTTTTTTGTACTACTATATTATTTTTATGATGGAATTAATATAAGAAGTTGTTTGATGATTTTTGTTTTTTTTTTTTTTTTTTGTGTTGATAATAATTGGATATATATCGTTTATTGATTGATAATTATTGATGTTAAATTGGTATATTCTACTGTATCTTGAAATTTAACAATTATTTGCTCAATTGAATATTGATTATTATATTCTCTGTTACATTTTCCCGTTACTTGCATCAAGTTTTCATTGATTGTATACAATCTTTACGAAATTCTGGTTCAAAATTTCATAATGGAGTAGTGTTATTATTAAAAGTTCTTTGTTCAATTGCACCATATTTTGTATAGAACGGGAGTATTACACACATTATACAACATAATGTCTAGTCTAGCCGTTCCAATTATTTATCGTTGTAGTTTATCAGATTATGTATTTCTAAAGTACAATGTAAAATATAATATCCTTTGTGCATTCATTTAATTTTAAGTTTATAAAATATTATTAATATAAAAAAATAAAAAGTGGGGGAACGTGGGAGAGTAATTTTGGGGATCATGTGATGAATGAGAGAGTTATGGGTGTTTTAGTTGGCTGGCCTAAACTTTGTAGGTGGTTGAGGTGGTCAACTGCTCTATTTCACAACTCACACTAACTTCCCTCACATTATACCCACCAAGGTGATAAAGATCAATTTCTGGGCATTATATGTCAAATTTTAACTTATTTGAGTAAAATATCAACATCTAGTAATATTTACTACGGAGTAATCTAATTTAGTTCTTTTGGCCGTCAGTGTATGTAAGTTTAGATAAGTGCTACGTAGCATTAAGTTCATTTTGAACTAGTAATAAGCATGGAAAAAAAAAAAAAAAAGAGTTTATGAGTTTGTGTGACGAGAAGTTAGGTCATAGAATGAAGCCTTAATCATAGTGAGAATTGACAAGAACTCGGCCCCTACCAAAAACTGCCTGAGTCACTATTTTGGTAAGTTTATTGTAGTTGAGTTGGTAACAGAGATTGGTATGATATGGATATGTAGGGAAAATTACAGAAAGAGCATTTTTCTTGCTTGGCTTAAAAAGGTAGTACTAAGAACCTAAGGCACTTTTGGACTCCATGGATAAGAATTAGGTTATTTTAACTTTTACCACCTTCAAATAACCACTTAATTGAATTTACCACCTCCAAAAAAAAAGATTTACTTTACCACCAACAAAATTTCCAAAAAATCGATTTTACCACCAACTAACGGATTCCGTCCACAAATCCGTTAGTAGGGCCCACCTTTTTGACGTTTCTTCTTCATCTTCCCCGATCTTCCGTGTAAACCAACCAGCAACGAAATCAACTACCTCGGTTGGTCGGAATTTCGTGTGTGACTAAGGAGGGGCCGGAATTTGGTGTGTGGGTTAGGGAGGTGGTCGGAATTAGGTGGTGGTTAGGGTTTTAGGAGTGCGAAATTTGGTGGTGGCTAGGGTTTTTAGAGTGGTCGGAATTAGAAGGGGATTTATGGGTGGTCGGGATTTGGTGGCTGCCAAAAACTAAGAAGTCAAATCACCAACAACAAGGATACAAATCGATTATCATCAACATTTCTACAAACCAAAGCAATTAATCCATTACAATACCCACAAATCGAAACCTCAAAACCAGAAAAAGAATTGGGTAAATCAAACCTTGTCAATCGTTTTTAGCATCAAGCTCAGAACCCCACTTCAATGGAGTCGATTCCAGGTGACTTCCATGGTTGAGGATAAGAAGACGACGGTCAGAGGAGAGAGAATGAGCGAGATGAAGTCTGATTAAATGGGTGCTGTTGATTGATTAAGGAATGCCAAGCCTTGGAAACGCATTTGAAGCGAAGTAGTGATTTAGTGGGTAATCGAAAAGAATGGAGGTGATTAACTCCATTGGAAGAGACGCCATTGTTGTGGCTTTCGAGAAAACAGAGCAAAAAAATAAATAAAAATTGGTGGAAAGGTGGTTGTGGCTGTGTGGTGCGGTGGTGGTGCTGGTCGTAGCGGTTAGGTGGTGGGGGCTGGTCGTAGCGGTTAGGTGGTGGGGGCTGGTCGTGGCTGGTCGGCGGTGGGGGTCCTGACGGTGGCAGCAACACCGGTTGATTAATGGGGATTTTTTTAATTTTTTTTAAAAACTTACCCAATAATATGGCGACACGTGTGCAAGGTAGGCCCCACTAACGGATTTATGGACGGAATCCGTTAGTTGGAGGTGATTGGTGGTAAAACTGATGTTTTATTTTTTTATGAGGTGGTAAAGTAAATCTTTTTTTTTTGGAGGTGGTAAATTCAATAAAGTCGTTATTTGAAGGTGGTAAAAATCAAAATACCCTAAGAATTATGCTAATCACAGTAGCAAACAACAACACATTATACTTGTCGTTATACAATTGTATTACTTTATTTTATAATCTACAATCAAGACTTGTTGATCACTCTTAAGTAAGATCAGAAATTGAAATACTAGTTAGTATCAGGTTTATAATGTTAACAAAGTAACTATATTGTACATAAGGTAATCAGTAAATTCTTTAAGTGATTTGGTTTAAATTTAAATAGCTTTAATCATGTTATTGTTCACTGAGTCCTCGATTGTTCATCTCTGTAGGATCATTATTGCTGTACTTTCAGTTTGTGAGAGGTTTGGTGATATATTCATATCATGGTAAGCAGAGGTTTCTCCTTTACAGAGGAAGTATCTCAAAATTGTCATCTAATTTACCTGTTTTTTCTTTCAATTACTACTAACATGATTTCATTTTCACCTAAAGGGTTCCGTTATATGGAGAGTTGAAGTTGGCTTTCATTATCTACCTTTGGTATCCACAAACAAAGGTGATTAACTAACTTATGTTTAACCCTGATGTGTAACTCTGATATTAGGGTGTAACTGACAGAAATGTGGTATGATGCAGGGAACTTCTTATGTGTATGAGAGCTTATTAAGGCCATTTGTGTCAAAACATGAGACGGACATTGACAAGAATCTGCAGGAATTAAGATATAGAGCTTGGGATGTAGCCATTTACTACTGGCAAAACTGCACTGAATTGGGATCATCAGCAATTTTCAATGTGTTTGACTACATAGCCAACCAGTCTTCCAGGCTTAGAGGCGGCAGCACTCAGGTATATCTTTCTCAATTTCTGTCGCCGTCTAAATAGGCCCACGAAAATTCTTCCCGAATCATACATGCCTCAGCTAAGGTCGAATGCCTCGTGAAAGAAGTCATAATTCACTATAATGTCTATGATTAACTGTTGTATGATGTATGCTAATATACTTCTTGAAATGTTAGAATTTGGACCCAGTAATGATTAACTATAGATCACACTGAATCCTTTAAATCATTCAGTTGTCTATGTTTCTCTCGTTCTCTCGTTGTCATAGCGTTGTCTTTCATTTTTAGGCAAGTGAAGCGATGAATTGTGATCATGCGAATTTAGAAACGTGCATTTCACAAACATATAAAAAAAAAGGAACAAATATTACTTTGTTTTTTAGATGAAGCATTTAGGAATGCCACGGGATTATGCAAAGTAGTGTATATGTTCTTTTTACCTTTGTATATACTCTAGCATTATAAGTAAGTCAATGCACATTGGATCCCACAGTCCCACACTAAATAAGTGCAAAAGGGAGACAAATTTCATGTATTCAAATATTAATCATGAGTAAACCTATAACACTTAACAACTTACACACACACACACTATTTTTGCTGAGCATTGATTTGTTATTTGGCACATTGCAGAAAGATGATCGGAAACGACGAGATGGCAGGGGCAGCCCACCACCACCACCTTCAAAAGGGTCCAGCCTTTGGACTCTCCGACAACGAAAATCAAAGCCTGAATCACCACCATCCGCCTCGCCACTACACCCCAATCACCGAGAGGAACAGCCAGCTCCATCAGCACCTCCACTTCCAGCTGCATTTCCTAGTTTGTTCAAAAATGAAGCCCAACTTTCCAAGTCCAAACTGGTCCAAATGGAACTTGAAGAGGCCCAAACTGAATACATCCGCATTGAAGAGGTTCCGGAAGAAGCCCATTCCAAAGGCCCAGAAAAAGAAACGAGCAAGCTTAGCCCGACCCGTTTAAAGTTTAGGCGATCAAAACCCATTCAATGATCACCTAAACAAACACCATTTTGACATTTTTACCCAAAAAAATCATACTGTACAAAACTCCATCGTTTATAATTCACCCAAAAAAAAAACACACTTTTTTTTACTTTAATTATTTCATTTTCCTCACGTTTGTAATTACATATTTGCCACCACACAAATTTGCAAATATTTTTTTTTTTTTGGGAAAAAAAAAGAAGAGAAATGAAAAGAATACAATCCGTCGTTATCTGCACAGGATGAGCCAGAAAGCGTCTACCAACCAATCATAGACACGTGTTACAGTCTCCGACACCGTTCGCCGGAAAAATTCGCCGGAAAAACAGAGCCGGCGAGATGAAGAAGAAGGAGAAGTCGAAACAGTAGGCTGAAGGTAGGCCCAAGCAGCCTGTTTAACCAAACGGTTACGAATCGAAATCTCATACCCCGAACCACACGAAGAAGATGAAATTCCGGCGATTGCGATCGCCGGAGTAGGAGAGAGAATGGATGAAGGACTGCACGGTAGAATATCTCTTAAAGAAGTGTAGTTATCTGATGATGGTAACGGCGGTGACTTCAACGGAAAAAGCTCGAAATCCGCGGCGGAGAACGACGGCGGCAACGGCGGCGATCTGTTGTTGCTGTGGCGGTTGCCGTTTAATGGTTTGGGTTTACGAGGCGGAACGATGACGGCAGAAGGGAGGCTGTTTCGACGTTTGAGAGTAGTATTATGATGATTATTAATATTATCATCTTGTTGGTCTACCATTTTTAACAATGTTGGTTGAGCTGGAAAGGGCTAAGAGCGTGTTAATGGAAATGAAATGAAGGAATGGAGGTTTTGGTTTAGTTTATTTTAGTTTTAGGAAAGGGGAAGAGAGAGAAAGTGGAATGATGAATAGTTGTAATTTATGAGAAAATTGTAAAGATTTGTAATGGAAGGATTGATTAGAATGAGAGAAATGTCAAAATGACGTAAATTGTCACCATCCATTTAATGTTGGTTATTGTTATTGTGATGGGTTGTTTTGATGCAATATTTGGGTATTGGATGATTGTTCCAGATGGTGTTTCCGTGTTGAGTGTTTTACACTTTTACTACTTCACTTTACTACTGTGTTTGTGATGAATAGTTGTAATTTATGAGAAAATTGTAAAGATTTGTAATGGAAGGATTGATTAGAATGAGAGAAATGTCAAAATGACGTAAATTGTCACCATCCATTTAATGTTGGTTATTGTTATTGTGATGGGTTGTTTTGATGCAATATTTGGGTATTGGATGATTGTTCCAGATGGTGTTTCCGTGTTGAGTGTTTTACACTTTTACTACTTCACTTTACTACTGTGTTTGTGATGAATAGTTGTAATTTATGAGAAAATTGTAAAGATTTGTAATGGAAGGATTGATTAGAATGAGAGAAATGTCAAAATGACGTAAATTGTCACCATCCATTTAATGTTGGTTATTGTTATTGTGATGGGTTGTTTTGATGCAATATTTGGGTATTGGATGATTGTTCCAGATGGTGTTTCCGTGTTGAGTGTTTTACACTTTTACTACTTCACTTTACTACTGTGTTTGTGATGAATAGTTGTAATTTATGAGAAAATTGTAAAGATTTGTAATGGAAGGATTGATTAGAATGAGAGAAATGTCAAAATGACGTAAATTGTCACCATCCATTTAATGTTGGTTATTGTTATTGTGATGGGTTGTTTTGATGCAATATTTGGGTATTGGATGATTGTTCCAGATGGTGTTTCCGTGTTGAGTGTTTTACACTTTTACTACTTCACTTTACTACTGTGTTTGTGATGAATAGTTGTAATTTATGAGAAAATTGTAAAGATTTGTAATGGAAGGATTGATTAGAATGAGAGAAATGTCAAAATGACGTAAATTGTCACCATCCATTTAATGTTGGTTATTGTTATTGTGATGGGTTGTTTTGATGCAATATTTGGGTATTGGATGATTGTTCCAGATGGTGTTTCCGTGTTGAGTGTTTTACACTTTTACTACTTCACTTTACTACTGTGTTTGTGAATTTATTTGACTCACTCTTTTGAAGTTATTAATATATGCCCAAAAGTCGTACATTCTTCTTTTAACTTTTGTTTTTCGTGGAATTAGACAAAGTATTTTTTAATTTTATTTAACTAGTGTGTATCTCGGATGATGCCCCTAATTGCTAGTTTGTGTAGTTTTTTAATTTAATATATGTTCAAGTATTTGTATAGTTAGTGTGTGCAGTGGTTCGGGCGTTGCCTTAGGTATCACATTTTTTTTTACATCATATGTATTTATATTCTCATCTTGTGTAAAATAAATTAATTATATCACCTCTAATTTACTTAATAAATGAAAGAAACATATAATATTATATGAAATTTGAAACATTAATAAAAGTTGGTTGAGATGATAAATGTATTACCTATATATATTGGAGGTTATGGCTTTGAATCTTGTTCAAAGCATATTTTATTTTGTTAAATGAAGTGGCTAGTTTACGTGACGCATATACTTTGGATGGTGACGTGGCATTGTGACATGACACACATACTTTGAACGGTGCCACGTGACACCGTTCCTTTAAAAGGAACGCCTTTTAATATATAGTATAAATGTTTCTACTTTTTCAACACCTTATCTACGGAATATGATTTCTTAAAAAAAGAAAAAAAACAATAAAAAAATAAATAAAAATCTACGCAATGTGATGTTGTATGTACTATATATGAGCATTGTTTCGGGATTTTTTGGAATCCCTCAATATACTGGTCGTGAATATAGTCGGACGGTCTTTGACGCCTGCAAAATAACGAATATTCCGGTATACGGAATATTTGCCTCTGACGATCAAGTTAGTGATTGGAAAGCGAAATAAATGTAGAGAGAGAAAGTAGAGAGAAGTTGGAGCTTTCAATGCTCTTATAATGATGTCTATATCCACCCCTCCCATCATAAATAATTGGGGTATGTATAAGGGAGGGAAAGTGTGCCCCTTCAGGGTTAGTGGCCTAGAATTCCGTGCTCTGATTGGCGGCGCAATCAAGAGAAGCACGTGTCCAAATAGGGGGCGCCGTTTTGCGGCTTTCTCGGGATTTAGGCCTCCTGATATAAGGAGGCCTTTTGCTCTCAATTCAGGTGTTCTTTATATTTCTTGACACGTGTCATCTTCCTATAGGTAGGGGTGTTCAAAAAAACCCGACCCAGTTGTCCTGTCCCGATATCCCGACGGGAAATTTTCAAAATTTTTAGTTTTTTTCGGGTCGGGTACCCATCCCGGTAAAATAGCACTTTCGTGGGCCGGGACATGGGACAAGCTTTGCAATTATCGGGTACCCGGATACCCGTTTAAAAAAAAAAAAATTACCTCAAAAAATAACCAAAAAAGTTACCCACCCACACCGTACCCTATCTTCTTCTCTTTCTTTTTCAGCCCATCCTCCTCTTTCTCTCTCTTCTCCTCTCTGCTTTCTCTTTCCTCCTTTTCTTCGTTGCTCTCCTTTTCTCCTCTCCTCCCTTTTTTCCCTTTCCTCTGTTCTTTCTCACGCCTCTTTCTTTCTCCTTTTTTTTCTCTTTCTTTCGGTTTTCATGGTCAAAACGAAGGTTTTAATGGTTAAATTCGACCATGAAAACTCTAGATCTAGAGTTTTCATGGTCGAATTTGACCGTTTTAAACCAAATCCGAGGTGAAATTCAAGGCCATTTTCGGTTTAAAAGGTATGGTTTCTTGTTTTTAATTTTCTTTCTTTTTTTTTTTATTTTTAAGAAATCCATTTATATGATATGATTTTTGGTAATTATCATGCTTTTTTTTTTTCTAAATTTCATTATTTTTGGTTAAATTTGGTGGTGGTGGTTTCGATTTGGTGTGGATGGGGTTTGGTTGGGTTGCTTTCGATTGTGGGTTGTGGCTATCGGTGGTGTTGGGTTGTCGGTTCGTTGTGGGTTTGGGGTTTCGGTGGTGGACCTTGGTTGGTGGGAGGTTTTGGTGGTGGTGGAGTGAATTTAGGTGGTGGTGGGTGGTGAATTGAGGTGGTGGTGGGTGGTGAATTGCGGTGGTGGTAGGGTGATTTTGATGGTGGCTTAGGAGGAGAGGAGGTACGTTTTGGGTTTCTCCATTCACTCCTTTCTTGGATAAATAAAATTCGGGTACCCGCGTCCCGTCCCGGATAATTCGGGTACCCGAATATCGGGTACCCGAATTATCCGATATTCGAGTACCCGAATATCGGGTACCCGAATTATCCGATATTTGAGTACTCGAATTATCCGGGATGGGACACGGGCCGACTTATCAACTACCCGAAGATCCGGGTACCCGGATCTGAACACCCCTACCTATAGGGACACGTTTCGCCCTTTGACTGGGCCACGTGTCACTATGGGATTGGACCGCGTGTTGGGGTATTTTTACCCTAAACATTTGCCCCTCAGAAGTGGTGACTCGTACCATACGGGTCGCCTCCTCTGATCTTCTACTTGTTCGAATACGTCCAAATACTTAGGTTTTCTGAGCACTTTTCATTTTTAGAGGGCGGACAGTTACGTCCATCTATCAGAGGGATCTCTCCTTTGGGCTGGACGCCTTGTTTGGTTTATAGAGGGCGGACAGTTGCGTCCATATGTCAGGATGATCCCCCCTTTGGGCTGTACGCCTTGTTTGGTCTGCCTAATTTCCTTAGAGGACTTTTAAGTCTTAAATCAGGCGGACAGGTTGTGCCGACTGGCTTGAGAGGGAACATCTGTCATTCGTATTTTTCAGAGTGGCGATTCAAATTCTGCTGACCTGGCCGTCTATTTTGACGCGCCGTTAGAGTGTTTGTATCTCTTCCCGTCTTAGATGACGAAGCGGTTTTTTAACCGTTTAAACTTTTTCGAAAAGTTACCGTTCGAATTCTTGGGCGGGAAAGATGGTTTTACCATTTTGCCCTCATAAATTCGGCAGAAGATGTTTGACTTCATTTTGGCATTTTGGAAATTTGAGAATTTTAGAGAGAATTCAGAGCCTTTTAAAGAGAGAAAGTAATCTTCCTTCAAATCTTCGAGACCTCAGCCGTGCGTTTGAGGTTTCCGGTCATATTTTTGAGTTTTCCGGTCAACTTTCAAGACTTTCAACGTTTTCTAAACATACGGAGGTAACCGCCTGCTCTTCTTTACTTCTTCCCTTTTTCTTTTACTTGTTTTTGTTTCTATAATACGAATTGGCTCAAAACTCTGCTTCGTCCGTTTCTCCTCATGAGGTCGGCCATTCGCCTGGGACTGAGGAGTCTAGAGTGGACGGGGACGAGTCCTCCTCTCTATGGAGTGGGTCCATTTCTAATGCGTACCAACTCACCCCCACCTATTCTTCTCTGTCCCTGCAGTCGAACATAGCGCTACGAGGCAAACGTACGAATGAGATGTCCCTAGAAACCCTGATGAGAGTATGGTGGACCCCTTAGTCCCCTATAATCCGAGTAAGGACAGGGAGACCACAAATACGACCGCTATTAGCGGTAGTGAATGCTCTGTGGTCGAAGTGACCACGTCCCTTGAAAATCGTCAACATCAGCCAGGCACTTCTTCTATCATGGGTGCATCCGGGCAAAATTCGGAATTACGTTTCCCTCAATTTTCCAGCTCAGTCATGATGCCGTCCGAGCTGCCATCTTCTGGAAGGCATCCTTCCTCTTTTCAAGCGGACGCTGGGGCGTCCGTCCAAAATCCTCAACGAACCCCAATCCAAACTACTAGGTCGGCTAGGCCTAGAACTGGCATCCACATTGCTGAACCGGCCGACCTGCCCCCTCGCAGCGCTCCTCCTTCTAGAGGCGGATGCTGGGGGACAGAAAGATAAGGGCAAGAGGCCCTTGGTGCCTGAAGGCATCGTCGTTTCTGGAGGCGGCCAGGCTCCAGGGGTGGGAGCTCGGCCGAAGGTGTTGAGTTGGACACAGCGCTGTCCTCTGAATTTGGGGCCACTCCTCAAGCTGCTGAAGGAGAAGTTGAGAACTCGTATGCTGATTAGGCGGTCGAAGAACCAAATGCTGATCAGGCGGTCGAAGAACCAAATGCTGCCTTGTCCTTCTTGCACTTGAAGTTTAAGGACCTGGGAGAAGGCTACGAAGTTGTAGCGCCCACTCGATCTTACTCGGTGGCCGCCTGGGAGAGCAATCGGAAGCAGAAGAAATGTTTCAGCGTCTATCGCGCTGCCTTGGAAGTGGGCCTTTGCTTCCCTCTTCATCCGTTCATCCATGAGCTCCTGGATGAATACAACATTGCAATCTTCCAACTGGTGTCGAACAGCTGGTTAAATATTTTTGGCTATCTGGTGACGAACCTTCGGCAAAGCTTTAAGCCGGACGTCCCAGTTTTATGTGAAATGCATTCCATGGTCCGCCTGGATGCTGGCACGGATGGGTGGTTTACTTTGAGCACCCAGAGAGATTTCATGGTGGTGATGGATAGGCCGTCCAAGTGGCGAGACTGGAAGAACCGATTCTACCGTATTAAGACAAAGGATGATTATTTTAACTTGAGGATAAATCGGTTCAATGCCGATCTAGTTCAACTCGGTCGCAGACAACATAGACCCAGCAAGCCACCCGTCCACCCTGACTACATGCACCAACTGGACTACTTCGGAGTCAGAAAGGTAGTCAGGGATGGAAATACGGTGACCGTGCCGCGCAACTGGATTCCCCTGGCCGTGTGGCTTAGGAACCTAGTTTTCATGTCGGCCTGTGGCCTATACCAGAACTACTCTCAAGGTGGAACCTTGTGACTTAGTCGTTCGAATGCTATTTGCAACATAGAAATATTCTAACATTTTTTCCTCTTTTTTCTTCCTCAGACGTAGCTCTCGGAATGCTAGATCCAGAGCAGAAGGGGGAGGTTGACATGACTGATCTGGACTTAGCGCAGTACAAACTCCGCCAACAGCAACATGACCAGGCTAAGGAGGTACTGACTATCTGTTCTCCTTTCTTCCTTTTTTTTCTTTTTTTTTTTTGCCGAGTTGGTGTGTGGGAGGAAGAGTCCTTCCCCATTTTAATCGGACGCAATTCAACTTGTTTTTGCGCCGAGCTGGTATGTTAGGAAAGGTATCTTATCCGGTTTCACTCGGACGCCGTCTTTTGCCTAAGTTTGTCGAGTTGGTTAGTTGGGAAGGTGTTCCTTCTCAACTTTACTCGGACACTTGTTCATTTCTTCTGACTTTATCTTGTTTCTTTCAGGCGGCCACTCCTACTTCCCGGTTGAAGAGAAAGCAGCCGACTTATGCTTTTAAGGACGGCCAGTCTTCCAAAGCCAAGAAGACAATAGCCTCAAGGGCCAAGTCTTCCACCAAAATGGCCAAGTCCATGCCGCAGACTGCTTTGAAGCAATCTGAAGGAGTGCAAGCCTAGCTGTCACCTAGTGGGGTCTCCAAGCCTGTGGATCCACAAACTGAGGCGGTCCACGATGAGTCCATCCATGCGGACAATGGGGGTAAGTCGTCCCCGGCAAAAACGACTGGAAACTTGGCCTCTGCTCTGCATGTCGAGGTGATGGATAAATCTAAGTGGCAGAAAGCTGCTTCTCAGTCGACCGAAGGACAACGCGACCGCTCACAACAGGAAAGGGACGAGCCAATACCCCCTCCTTCATTCAACCTTCCATCTCCTCCATCCTTCTCGGACGCTAAGCTGAATCTTCGTACGACTGTTGACTTGTATTTTTAAGAACTTGCTTGTTGGCTTGAAACTGGAATCTCAATGCATATTCAAACTTGTCTCCTTCCGAAGATTGACATATGATACCAGCGCCACATCCGGTCGCTGATGCACTTCCATTCACAAAAACTTTCCAAATTTGATCCCCTGCCGGGTGTAAGTCTAGTCGTGTCATTTCGGCCAAGAAATCAGCAAAAGCTTGGCCCTTGATTGCTTTTCTGGGTTCGAATGTGATATCGAATCCTCTCAATTCTAAGGCTCATTTAAGCATTCGGCTGGCCTCCTATGTTGTGAACGACTTCTTCAACTATTGGTACGTGTAGACCACAATCGAGTGAGCAAGAAAATAGGGCCTTAGCTTCTTTGATGCCATGAACAATGCCAAGCCGAACTTTTCAATGGGTGGATACCTAAGCTCGACATTGTGCAGGACATGGCTGATGAAATACACAGGTATCTGATGGCCGTCCCTTTCTGCAAGCAGGACGCCACTTAAGGAATGATCTGAAATTGCAAGATACATATACAACTTCTCATCTTTCAGTGGACTAATGAGCTGAGGAAGGGTATGCAAATGATTTTTCAACTGTACAAAGGCTTCCTCGGCCTCCTCTATCCACTAAAACATTGCTTTCTTCTTGATAATCTGGACAAAATAACGGCACTTATCCCCTGATCTTGACAGAATCGTCCGAGCGCAGCTAAACAAGCGGTCAGCCTTTGAACTTCTTTTATGGTTCTGGGCGATTTCATGTCTAAGACCGCCTGAATTTTCTCAAGATTAGCCTCAATGTCGCGCTAATCAATTAAAATCCGAGAAATTTGTCGTACTCAACACCAAAGACACACTTCTTTGGATTTAACATCATCTTATGCCGCCTGTGTTCGGTAAATGTTTCTTGGAGGTCCTTCAGATGGTCGGCCAGCCTCTTTGATTTTACAATCATATCATCAATATAAGCTTCCATGTTTCGGCCGATCTGATATCTGTAGACCGTATTCACAAGTCTTTAAAACATGGCAAGGGCATTCTTCAGGCCGAATGGCATAACCTTGTAGCAATATAGTCCCTGCTCGGTCACAAATGCTGTTTTATCTTGATCTTCTTCCCACAAGGAATCTGGTGAAATCTAGAGTATGCGTCCATAAAGCTCATCAGGGCATGCCCGACCGTTAAATCAACCGTACGGTCAATTTTAGGCAAGGGAAAACTATCCTTGGGGCATGCCTTGTTGAGGTCGGTGTAGTCTACGCACATTCTCCAAGTTCCATTAGGCTTCTTCATAAGAACTACATTTGCTACCTAATCAGGATAGTGACATTGCGAATGAAGTCGCTGTCTAGCAGATTTTTTACTTCAGTTGCGGCCGCCTGATTCCTTTTTTCACCATGGTTTCTCTTTTTCTGCCGAACAGGCCTCATTGCCGGATTTACAGCCAACTTGTGAACAGCTTAGTCTAGGCTAATACCCGGCATCTCATGAACTTCGAAAACAAATACATCTCTGAATTCTCTTAACAAATCCACCAAGTCATTCCCAAGCAAACTCATGGCCATAGTGCCCACTTTGACCGTCCGATCAGGCTGGTATGGGTCGAGCACTATGTCCGTATGATCGTCGGCCGACTGTGGCCTTAACTCTTCTGGCCGGCCGACGGTCATTAACTGCTATTCTTTCTCTTTCTTAATTGACTTGCGCTTCTGGCCGACCTGGTATGTTTGGAGTGACTCTTCTTTGAAATTTAGCTCGGACGCGTTTCCTCGTACACGAGCTGTTGGCTTCACGGCTAACTGATTGCATTCCTTTGCCATCTTTTGATTTCCTTGAATGGAACCTATCTTCCCATCAGACCGCTCAAACTTCATCAGCATTAAATGTGGGGCGATTACTGCCTTAGCTAATGTCAAAGTGGGGCGGTTAAGGATGACATTATAGCCTGTAAGTTCCTTAACAACTAGGAAGTGGACGACCATATCCCTTCCCTCTCCCTTTGGACCAAGTCGGACGGGAAAGTCTATCCGTCCAACCGGGTGAATAATGCTCCCACCAAACCCAACCAACAGGTGGGAAATATCCTTAAGGGCATCCTTTGGAAACTTCAAGTTTTTCAAACAAGCTAAGTTGATTATGTCGAACGAGCTACCTGTGTCTATCAACACTCGGCCGGCCTTCAAATTGGCAACTTTCAAGATGAACACCATGGGGTCATTGTGAGGGGCTTTGAGGCAGACCGTCACCTCTGGAAAGGGCTCCACCTTTACCCCTTCAGTGTGAATTACATTTTCAAAATTACAAGCATCTTGCTTAATTTCATTCATGGTCGGGCCACCTGCAGCAAAGCCGCCTGATATAATGGCCACAAATCCTGAATCAGTGTTATTTCCATCACCTTCTTTCTCTTTGTTTTTCTTCTTCTCGGATTTGTTGTCCGTCCGAGAGTAGGTGAACTTGGACTTTAGAACGTACGAGTTGAGAATGCCCTTCTCGGCCAACTTATCCAATAATATCTTCAAATGGTTGCAGTCGTTTGTGTCATGCCCGACGTCTTTGTGGTAATGATAGTACTTGTTCTTGTTTAGGTATTGGGCCGGCCCTCTCAAGGATTGAGGCTTCTTAAACTCGAACTTGTTTTTGATCTCCATCAAGATTGAATAGCAATCCTTGTTATACTCATACTGGGGCTCGTACGTCTAAGCTTTCTTTGATTTCATCCGTCGGCCACCCAGACTTCTTTTCTTTTGTTGCTTCCTTCCTTCTTTTTGTCGACCAAGTCTTGCTGAGAAGGTTGTTTCTTCTCGGCCCCCTTGGCCGGCTCTTCTGATTTTGTAAGTGAACAATAATTAGCGGCCTCTATATATGATTCGGCCTCCTGGTGAACACCTGCGTATGTCCGAATCTTTTTCCTAAGCAAGTCAAACTTGAAACCATTATGCCTTAACCCTCGAAGGAACAACAACTAGGCCATTTCATTCGACAGATTCTGAATTTGAGCTTTCTCCTGATTGAACCTCTGGACGTACGAGCGCAATCCCTCTTTCTTTCCTTGGAGAATGGTCGCCAAGTTAAGACTAGTCTTCCGGGGTGGAATATTATAGGAAAAGTTTCCAACAAATAACAGACTGAGAGTTGTAAAACAATTGATGCACCCGGCCGGCAAACTATTGAACCAGTCTTGTACCACACCCTTGAGGGTGGCCATAAAGCATTTGTACCATGTGGCATCATCCACACTTTGAAAGTACATCAGGTTTCTGTACGAGGTGACGTGCTCTTCTGGGTTGCCCATACCATCATAGGCACCCACAAATACACTCTTCACTTTTGCTGGTTGAGGGGAGTTGAGAATTTCTTGAGAAAACGGAGGCGGCTTGTCACCAAGATTCAACAAGCGCATTTTCCAATCAATAGGCTCAGGTTGTGCGGCCGGTCTACCCAGGTAAGCTACCTGGTCTTACGGTTGCCATACTACCCGTACTGTCCAAAGACAGGGGGAGCAAGCGGCAGAATTGTGCCATAATTCTGATATTGGAATGGTTGAGTTAGAGGAACTGGGGTTGGAGTACAGTGAGCTTGACTTCTGCTGGTTCCGGCCGAGCTGGTATGCTTGGAGAGGTTATGATCAGAGAAATCATCCGGCATGGTGGGAGTGGAGGCTATGTCCGAGTAGATTACCCGCTCCTGCTGCTTGTGCCGGATATAGTCTCTCGCATCCCTCCAGTATCTGGATGGCTCATTCAGCTCTTTCTGAGGCTGCTTGGTCTGCCCCCCAGCCGACTGTGTTTTCTCAAGGAGCCTGGACCAGTTCGTCCAAGGCACCCTCGGTGACCGTGCATGTCGTCGGAATAGAGTATTCCCAGCATCTTCAGTATTGACTACCTTGCTCTGAGTTTTCTTTTGAGCACCTTTTCCTTCCCATTTGGACGGCTGTCTAGAAGAAGAAGGGATCTTACTCTCAAGCTCCCTTCGAAGCTTGTTCAAGGCGGCCTTCAAGGAACCAGCAGTCACCGGAGGATCCTTAGCCTCATGAAATGAAGCAGTCAGAGGATCGCTTGTATTGATTGTAGCAATTAGATTCTCTACATACCCGTCCTGACAAGGACCGGGTGTCTGGCCATCTTTAGCCATTTCAGACAAGTATCCCCACAGACGGCGTCAAATGTTTCGGGGTTTTTTGAAATCCCTCGGGATACTGGTCGTGAATATAGCCGGACGGTCTTCGACGCCTGCAAAATAACGAATATTCCGGTAAACAGAATATTCGCCTTCGACAATCAAGTTAGTGATCAGAAAGCGAAATAAATGTAGAGAGAGAAAGTAGAGAGAAGTTAGAGATTTCAATGCTCTTAGAATGATGTCTTAATCCACCCCTCCCATCATCTGCCAGCGAACCCCACCAAGCCCCACCCCTGCTCGCCCGACCACCAATCACCTTTCAATTTCATCCTTGATTTTTGGGTGTCCTACAATTTGCAACACCAACCGGAACCTACCATCGCCGGCGACTCATCCTACCTCAGAAACTGTTTCAATGGAGTGAGAGAAAGCTAGCGCAGAAGCCGTTTTAATGGAGAACTCAGAGTGCGCTTCAATGGAGGCCGCTCAAATCTGCATTTCATCAAACAACTTGGGGGAGAATTTTCAAGAAAGAGAAAATCAATTACAAATGGTAGCAAATCAAATCTTAGAGTTGCTTCCAAATAAATTGGAAAAGAAAATCAATTTTCCAGAAAACCAAATCGTTGACATTTTATTTTATTTTTTTTAGAGTGAAAAGGGGAAAAGAAGGTATATACTTGTGGGGGGCTTGGTAGGGTTCGCCGGCAGGAGGTGGCTAGGTTAGGTGGTCGGACGGGTCGGTAAGGTGTGGAGGCGCTAAGGCGGTGGTGGCAGCGTGATTGAAGAAGCAAGGGGAAGGGGGAGGCTGGTTGGGGTTTTTTTGTTTTTTGTTTTTAATTTTTTTTTAATTTTATTAATTTTGCCCAATAAAGTAGTGACAAATGGACCCTTTAGTCGAAAAACAGGCCAGATTTCGTAAAAAATTGGTGGTTTTTTAGAATAGAAAAATGGTGTATTTGGGGGTGTTTTTAAAAAAAAAAATTCTTAATATAATACGCTATATAATGAGAACATATTAGATTGAATTTCATGATTCATGAACTCTATTTGATAACATCATATTAGATTGAATTTATCTTTATTGTATGGAGCACTTTACATATAACATCATAAATCTACTTGCATTATAATTTATAAACAAATTGTATTACTATGCCATTTTTGCCATTTCTTTTGTGTTTATGGAGTACTTGCTATTTGATATGGTCCGTATTGAAAGTCTTTACAAATTTTGAGTGTGAAGAGGATCTAATATAATTTCAATAAATATATATCATGTGATCTTAATTGATTCATCTTAATGTGTAGTTTTCACATATTAGATATTAATAAAGACATTTATGCTTAACTATATGCATTAGAGACCAAAATCTAGTCGTCTCTCTCTATTTTTTCCTCTTTAGGGTTCTTTAAAAAAAGTGTTTCATAGGCCAGAACTAGTCAAATTTCTCCGGAAATTTGGCTAGTTCCGACCCTTTCCCTTTAATTTCTTTATGCTTTTGTTATTGAGTTCAGTAAATCTACACTCTTTGAAGGTATTAAGTACCCCTATAGTGGGTTTGAGTGTAGAAAGTGCCCCTATGGTGGGCTTTGTTCTAGTTTTGTTTTTGTTTTTTTAGTTTAATATGGTACAAGTTGTTTCATGGGTAAAGATTTGTGCGGGATCGAAAAAGAGGTTAATCCTTCGATTACAATCAGATGAATCAGATGAAAATTTTCTTCACGATTACAACAGATCGATAGACCCCCTCGTCGAAAAAGGCTGTAAATCTCAGCGATATAAAAGAAGGTATGAAAAATACACTATTTGCAACAACAATCGTAACTCTGCTGAAAGGAAGCTTTTATTTGATTCAATTGTCATGTACTTTTTAAATTTAAATCTCTTTGTAGATGTCGTATGACTTTTTATTTATGAATCAATCTTTATTATAAAAAAAAAAAAATTGCATTAGAGACCATGAAAAAAAGTAAGCATACATAAAAATAACACATAAAAAATAATCTAAGACCAAATTAAAAATAGTTATCATGGCAACATTTGTTTTTTATTTAAAAAATATAATCAAAGTCTTCTTATGATTTAATGAAAGTATTAAATATTACTTCATCTGTTTTTTTTTTACTTGACCAGTTTGTTTTTATCACGCTTGCCAATGCAAAGCTTTAACGATTAATAACTTTAATTCTTCATAAGTAAAAAATTATAATAGTTATATATTAAGATAGAACTTATTGAGACGAATTTAAAAAGATCTCACATGAATATGTTTTTCCTTACATATTATTCACAAAAGACGGTCAAAGGAGGGGTGGTGAATAGTGTAAAAGTCAAAGCATGTCAAGTAAAAAAGAAAGTAGAAAGTATGATATGGATTTTAATGGATATAACCTTCAATCTCGGTTGAAAGGTTTGTAATCTTGAGTCTCGGTCAAGAAATGCTAAGCAACACGAGCTTTAAACCTTAACAAGGCCAAGAATACACAAGCACAAGGTTACGTAAAACTTTATAAATTTCAAATCAATCAATCATACTTTTTGTTAAACACCATCACGTATTTATAAGCTAAATTATTAGCCTAAAAATCGTGTAGAACAAATTCTAATCTAACTAGGAAACTAACCCAAACTTGTAAAGATAATATTTTGCAAATATAATCTTTAAAGTTAAGCTTATCTTCTGCTAACCGAATTAAACTAATAAAAATATCCTAATAAATTCGATCACCTAATAATAAAATTAAAAATAACATAAAAATAATTAAAATAACAATATGTGATGCCTTGTAACCACATCATATTATATTTTTATCTTAATACTAGTTGATTATAGACTTATAATATACAGAGTACGAGTACTGGTATACTACAATCATGCACTTAAAATATTGGTTATTCAACCACCAAGTTGAACATAGGTCCACATTCAGCTTCTTTCATTGATTTATGAATAATTTAACAACTACTCTTAAGATTGATGTACGTTCCTGATTTTCTCAATAAGTATCCTCCAATCTTATATTCTTAACATTGAAGAATTCTTCTTGACTCGTCTTTTTCTTCCTTAATCATGATATTAATTACTTGTAATATTCGTATATAATTGGTTGAATTTAGTACAGAGTATATTTTTAAGATAAATTCAGTACAATCGGTTGATCTGGTATTCTGTATGTAATAGACTTGTCAAAAATCAAAGGGTTTTGTTTTAATCAGTTGTATTTATAATTCAAGACCCAAACTTCTCTTGATTAAAATTTATTTTTCTATTATCACTCAGTATATTTTTATGTTTGTAAAAAAGAAAATGAAAATATAACACAATTTAATGGTAAGACATTATTTTTAAAACTTGAGGTTTGCGAATTTGCTAATTGGTTGACTTGAAGAAATTAAAATGGCAGCAGAGAAGTGTGATCAAAGGAATGCATTCAATGGAAAAACAAAGCCAAAGATTGCATGGCATGCGAACACATGGCCTCTCTTATCTCAAATTCTCAACCAATATCGGTTCCATGATTGATT